AAAGAGTTAAAAATAGATGTGCCCAGGATGCCTGGGTGGCTCAGCAGTTGAGCATCTGCCTTCGGCCCAGGGTGTGATCCTGGAGACCCAGGATCGAGTCCCACATCGGGCTCCCTGCATAGAGCCTGCTTCTCCCTCTGCCTGTGTCTCTGCCTGCCTCTCTGTGTCTCTCATGAATAAATAAATAAAATCTTTTTTAAAAAATTGCTGAATTAAAAAAAAATAGATGTGCCCTATGACCCAGCAATTGCACTACTGGGGATTTACCCCAAAGATACAGATGCATTGAAATGGCAGGACACCTGTACCCCAATGTTTATAGCAGCAATGTCCACAATAGCCAAACTGTGGAAGGAGCCTCGGTGTCCATCGAAAGATGAATGGATAAGGAAGCTGTGGTCTATGTATACAATGGAATATTCCTCAGCCATTAGAAACGACAAATACCCACCATTTGCTTCAATGTTGATGGAACTGGAGGGTATTATGCTGAGTGAAGTAAGTCAAACGGAGAAGGACAAACATTATATGGTTTCACTCATATGGGGAATATAATAAATAGTGAATGGGATTATAGGAGAAAGGAGGGGAAATGAGAGTGAAAAATTAGAAAGGGTGACAAAACATGAGAGACTCCTAACTCTGGGAAATGAACAAGGGATAGTGGAAGGGGAGGCAGGCGGGGGGATGGGGTAACTGGGTGACAGGTACTGAGGTGGGCACTTGACGGGATGAGCACTGGGTGTTATACTATATGTTGGCAAATCGAACTTCAATTAAAAAATATTTTTTAAAAATTCCTTCTCCTTGGGCAGCCCTGGTGGCCCAGCAGTTTAGTGCCTCCTTCAGTCGGGGGTGTGACCCTGGAAACCTGGGATCGAGTCCCATATCGGGCTCTCTGCCTGGAGCTTGCTTCGCCCTCTGCCTGTGTCTGTGCCTCTCTCTCTCTGTCTGTCATGAATGAATGAATGAATGAATGAATGAATGAATGAATGAATAAATAATCTTAAAAAAAATTCCTTCTTTATTTTCATTGCAAATTTACTTAAACTCCTAGCAGTAAATTCAGCATCTGTGGAGTGGGGGTGGAGCCAGCAGTAGCTGGACTACCCCGCCTACACCTTCTCTTTCCCCTCTGATTTGTCTAAAGCTTTGCTCCAGGTCTGAGAACTGATTTAACATTTTCACTCCCATTTGGAGGAAAGAATAATACAAACTTTTGACATTTGGGGTCCAACCAAAGCCCACCATTGGAAATGTTTGGGCTCTTTCTCCTCTTGCCTTGAGGATAAAACAAAAATCAAAAGCAGCACTCCCACTGAGATTTCCCCCACCCCCAATGTAATACTTTTTAAAGATTTATTGGAGAGAGAGAGAGAGAGAGAGAGAGAGAGAGAGAGAACATGAGCAGGGGGAGGGGCAGAGAGAGGGGAAGAGAGAATCTCAAGCGCTTTCCCCACTGAGCACAGAACCCCATGCTGGGCTCAATCTCCTGACCCCAAGATTCTGACCTGAGCTGAAACCAAGAGTCAGACATTCAAATAACTCAGACACTCAAATGACTGAGCCACTCAGGCACCCCCCTCTCCCTGCCAATGCAGCCAAAAGAGGCAAAGGGATCCAGCTCCTCAACTTTCATGTGGTACCATCTATTGAGTGTCAAATCCCAGAAGTAATTTTACTTCTTACAACATCTTCATCTGCAGCTCAAGCTACTGCCATGCACCATGGGTAACTGCACAGCCACCCAGGCACCAAAGCTTGGCTGACCATTCCAGAATATCATGCAGGCCCCCCTGCCCCATGTCCCCTGCACAAGTACCAAGTGCTCAGCAAGGGCTTTGGAGAAGGGCTCAGAGCCAATGCCACCTTTGTCATGGTCCCAAGGAAAGAAGTTAGCCAGTGCTTACACAGCTAGGAATCTCATATTCATCTCTTTGAAAGGATGTCAGTGAGTCAGGATCCATTGAGCAAATCCTTTTGCTGCCATCACAGTGTTAGGGGTTCCTAAGCCCACTCCCATGTTTGTTAATGTGCTAGGAAGACTCACAGGACCCAGCGTATGATCATGCTCATGCCATGCCTAAGATGTGTTACAGCTAAAGGACACAGAGCAAAAATTAGCCCAGGGAAAAGGCACATGGTTGAAGTTCAGAAGAGACCAGCTACATGATGCCAAGGGTCTTCTCTGGGTGGGATCACATAGGATACACTAATTTCCTCCAGCAAGGGTGTGTGTGGAATATTGTCTACAAAGGAAACTTGCCTGAGCCTCAGACACCAGGGTTTTTACTGGGGGCTGGTCACATAGACTCTTGCACAGCACATACCCAGATCCCAGACTCCCAGAAAGAAGGCACATGTTCAACATAAAGCACATGGCTTGTAGGAATAGTTTACACACAAGGAAACACTCTTGTCATTTCTGGGGATGCTGGGAACCTTCCTGAAATCCAAGTTGCTCAGTGCCAACCAAGGCTCAACCTTGCAATTAGGCCTTTCTGTGACCAGCAGCCTCCAGCCCGCAGCATTCATTTTTTTCTGCATGCCGGGGCACAGTGGAGGATGAGTCCAAGGGGTGCATCTGAAGGGAGGGCTCCAGAAGCAAGGTCTCTAGAACCCAGCTCCCTGCTCAGGCTGGACAGAAGGTGGTAACTGAGGAACAAGGAGCAGAGACAGCCATACCCAGCTGCTACTGACCTGTCATCCTACCGGGCCCAGCCTAAGGAGAATCTAGGAGGGAACGTGGGGGCCCCCAGAGATGGGGCCCTGCAGGTTCTCCCTCCCTGGTTTCTGCCTGCCGTCATAAGAAGCACCTAGGAGTGTATCCAGAGTGTGCCTGAGATCCTCAGTGTTTCTGGAAGCAAAGTCCAGAGGGCAGGACAAAGCCACCAGCCTGGCCAGCTGAGCCAGACACTCACCTTCAGCACTCTGAGGCTGCCGATAACCTGCTCCCTGGATTTGGTAAACATTGACTATGTGCCTAGGACACCAGCCAGACCAGGCTCCAGGAGAGAGGTTCAAGTTGGACCCTGGGAACAAGGGGACGGCATGTTCCTTCTCACCTGGAAGGCTGAGTAGGCTGCACAGAGCCCTTCTCCGTTGGTGGAAGCTTCTGGCCTGTGAGCTCCACTCTGGGCTACCTTCACACTGTTTTTCTCAATTGGAAACCTTGACACCGGGGGCTGAGGTGGACATTGAGGGCAGGCTGGCAAGGCACCCCCAGGAGGGGCAGAATAAGGAGGGGGGACACCTTGCCAGCTTCCAGACTTGCCCAGAAAACAGAAGAGAGAAGCTGGGAGAAATTGTCTGGACTGGTGGAGCGAGATCCAACTTCAAAAGCAAATAGGCCAGAGTCTGGGTCTCTATTTTTATCAGCTCTGCAACCTTGCGAACACATATACATTCCCTTCCCTGGGCATTAGTCTCCCCATCCGTCCGTTGGGAACACGAACATCTACGTGCATGGAAGGCAGTGTGGCAATTAGAAGCGTGGGTTGTGGAGTCAGAATAACCTGGTTCACATCCCAGGGAAAGGCAGGAGAGGGAAGACAGAAGGGAAGAAGAGAGTGGCCTCAGGCACTTTCTTGCTCTTTGTTACTTTTTCTCATCTGAAATGTGGGAATGTTGGACCAAATGATCCTTGAAGTCACTAGGAGTGACACACACTGATCTGTTTTTCCATATTAAAAAAAAAAGGCCAGTGCAGGACATTTTGGGAGCCCAAGTGATGCAAGAGGGTAGAGGTCATAACACAGTCGTAGGTCAAGACTGTAAGCATCAGAGGCTGGAAAAAGTTTCCAGGCAATGACGATAGTCAAAAAGTCAGTTCCCTGGAAAGAAGGCAGGATGGGTCAGCAACAGAGTTTCTGGGGACTTGGGGTGGAGCAAGAGGCAGGGGGCTGTCCTGGAACCCTCAGGCAAATGCCATGGCTGGCCAGCAGTCACCATTCCATCTTTCTTTTTATAAGATTTTATTTATTTATTTGAGAGAGAGTGTGAGAGAGAGCACCGGCAGGGGGAGGGGTAGAGAGGAAGAAGCAGACTCCTCCTTGAGCAGGGAGCTGACACAGGACTCCATCCCAGGACTCTGGGATCATGACCTGAGTCAACGGCAGACACTTAACTGACTGAGCCACCCAGGCACCCCACTATTCCATCATTTAGGAATGTGAAACCTGAGGACTAGGGTGTGGGGTTTCTGGGAGAGCCCTGGCGTTCCTCTTGGAGCCTTCTGCTCTACCTTCTACCACTCTGCAGATACTGAGAACCTGGGGCAGAGGGCAGGGCCATAACCTCTTTCCCATTACTCAGTCTGACAACACCAAGGTCCCCTATTCTCTATCAGCTGCCCAAAGCCCTAAAGAAACATAAGTAATCATAACCAACATTAGCAGAGATCTTCCTATGTGCCAGTCTCTATTCCAAAGACTTATGTTTTATCTCACTTAATCCCAACCATACTATTATTGCTTCCATTTTACACAAGGGGAAACTGAGGCTCAGGGGGGTTCTGTGACTTTCCCCAGTCACATAGTATATGGCAGGCCCAGGATTCAAACCCCCAACCCATACCTCTAACCACTATGGAGTAGGACCCTTTTAACTAATTATAAACCACATACTCACTATTCAAACAGGGCTTCAAGACCAGTCCCTAATTCCCTCTCAAATTCTCCCTAAACAACAATTCTACAGCCACTACTGCACTCTGTGTGGCCTTGATTTCTGAGCTTTGGATTCTGGAGAGCAGAGATCACAGTCCCAACTTGGGGTCCTGGAGTGTGCCCTTGGCTCTTTGCCTTGGCTCTACCTCACTGGCTAGCGTGCCTGGGAGAGTCCCTCCCCTGCTCTGGGCCTGACAACATCACCTTGTCCACTGAGATGGCAGCTGGATCAGAGGCTCCCAAGCCTAGGAGCTTTCATGGTTGGATCAGCTCCCGCCCACCCCTAGGAAGGCCAGGAGGCCAGGGGCGGGATCTGCTCTGTGTTAAATACTTCTGTCCAACACTCCTCTGGCCTCTTGTCCCAGTCTTAGAGGAGGACGTTTGACCAAGATTAATCATGGTAAGTGCCTGCTTGGGGCTGTGGAAGCCTCCCCCAGTGATGATCTGAAGTGAAACTTCCAGAAGTGCCTTGTGTCTGAGCTTCCAAGTCTTACTGTCCTTTTCTTTCTCCTTAGACAACTTACAGCGACAAAGGAAAGAAGGTAAGCAGGAGGGGGAAATGTGGGGTCAGGGCAAAGAGTAGAAAAGGAATTTCAGTAGGTATGTGATATCCAAGAGTCACACTCAGGTTCATCTGTGCTCACCCCCTCGTTCCCCTGAGATTGAGCTGGACTCAACCCGGTTCTCCTAAGAAAAACGTTACCTCTTCTTAAATTCCTGCCAATCTCGTAATCCTGTTTACAAGTTCTTTCTAGATTTTTAAGAATCATTTATTTATTTATTAATGAGAGACACACAGAGAGAGGCAGAGACATAGGCAGAGGGAGAGAAGCAGGCTCCTTGCAGGGAGCCTGATGTGGGACTCGATCTCCAGACCCAGGATCACACCCTGAGCTAAAGGCAGATGCTCAACCGCTGAGCCACCCAGGCGTCCCACTAGATTTTTTTTAATCTGCAACCTCTACTCACAATGTGGGGCTCAACCTCATGACCCCAAGATCAAGAGTCACATGCTCTACTAACTGAGCCTGCCAGGTGCCCCTGGAAGATCTTTCTAAGGTCTAACTTAAATCCGTGTTGCTGTACCATATAGCAGTTCCCCTCTGTGAAATCTGGGCATGCCTCCTAAGGGGGCTTTCCAATCCCAAACACCCAGGGGCTTGGTTTCTACATGAGAAACATCTTTTGAGGCTTGACAAGGCTGCAGGGTGTTTGGCTTCTCAGTTTTGGAATTGAGGCTGGACAAGGAAAGTTGTTAGGGGACACCTCTCCATCTACACTTTTCTAGGCCCACATCCAGAGACAGCCTCTCCCCTTCTCTCTTCTTGCAGCCTGAGAGAGGCCGATTTCTCCACTTCCACTCCGTGACCTTCTGGGTTGGAAATGCCAAGCAGGTAAAAGCCGGGGCCAGGTATCAGAGTAGGAGAAGGCGGGTCTCCAGCTGGGCCTGTGATTGGCCCCTGTGTGGGGAGGATCAGGGCCAGTGTTGGGACCATCCCAGGAAAAACATTCTTTAGATACTAATTACACAATCAGGCCCTCAGACCCCAGCAGGAAACTTAATCTGACGTCAGAATGGGCCAGGGAGCGGCCTTTCCTCCCAGGATGGACTCTGTACCTGGGGCAGACAGGCTGAGGGGGACCAGAGGCTCTCAGCTGAGGGCGAGGGATGCCCAGGCTGGCTCCTTGGAAACCCAGTTGCAACTCTGTGATTCAGGCTGCATCATTCTACTGCAACAAGATGGGCTTTGAACCACTAGCCTACAAGGGCCTGGAGACGGGTTCCCGGGAGGTAGTCAGCCACGTGATCAAGCAAGGCAAGGTGAGTCCCCACCCCAGGACCCCCACTTGCCCAGGAGGCCAGCTTATCTGCCCCTGCTGATCTCTGAGCCTCCTAAGGGCTCTGGTGCCTCTTGAGTGAAGTGGAATAGGAGGCTGTTTCTCTAGGCCTACCTGGTTTTCTCCCAGGATGTCTGGTGAGGCTGAGGGAGCATGAGCTGAGAGCCCCCACCAACCCCTCCACTGGCACCTTTGTACAACAGATCTTAGGGATCTTCGTTTTATGTCCTTCTTAGCCTGGCCCAACACTGGCCTCACAGATGTTTCGGAGAAGTTAACAGAGGCCTCAGACATCAGACCTGAAAGTCTGAGGAATGCCCTGATCCCTAGGAACCCTGGGGCTCTCTCCCATGGGCAGCCTGAGCAACAGCTCATCTCAGCGGGGATGTTGAGGCAGAGAAGGGGCTGGAACCCACGGTCAAGGAATCCTTCCTGGCTGGGAGGAGTGATGTGATCCTAATGCCCCACTGGGGTGCTTCATGGGTGGGTGGGGAGGAGGGGCTGGGGTACACCTGCACGTGCCAACCTGAACCACCAGCTACACCTCCTTTCTCCTTTACATCTTAGATTGTGTTTGTCTTCTCCTCTGCCCTCAATCCCTGGAACAAAGGTGAGGAGGCCCAAGGGGCTCAGGGTACCAGGGAGTGAAGACACGGTATGGTGGGTAGGGTCAGGGACAAGGGAGTATGTCTGGTTCAGCAAGGATTCCCCAGTCTAGAAGGAGATGGAGCTCAAAGGCTGACAGTAGAAGTGAGGGGGGCTGTGACTCCAGGGCCATGACCTCCCCTACCGGCCACAGAGATGGGTGACCACCTGGTAAAACACGGTGACGGAGTGAAGGACATCGCATTTGAGGTGGAAGATTGTGACTACATCGTGCAGGTGAGTGTGCACCCGGGCTGCCCTCTGTCCGCCACAGGAAGCCCTGTTGGTCAGGGCTGGGGGACCCGCCGTGTTGGAGTGACAAGCCCAGACACTCGTGTGATGCACACCCAGGTTCCAGGGATGCCCTGCCCCTTGCTAGCTGCCTGCCTTCTCACTCAGCCTCAGTTTCCACATCTGTAAAATGGCGATAACCACAGCACCTACCTTACCAAGTCTGACACAGAGGAAATGAGATCATAATTACCATTTCATGAGCACGACTCTGAACCAAACATTATATTCAAGAGGCAGCTTAGAGGTTCAGAGCATAGAAGCCAGAGGCACACTGCCCAGGTCTGAAACTTACTATCTGTGAGACTTTGGGGAAGTGACTTAACTTCACCACTTACAGAATGGGGACAAGAGCAGTACCTTTCCTGTAATGCTGCTGTGAGGAAGAAGGAGTTTGGTAAATACCTTCACCTTTGCCTGACATGTGATAAGCATAGACATACAGTAAGGTTTCACTAAATAAATGCATGAGCCAGGCATATAAGGCACCCTGCAGAGGGTCGGACACATAGTAGGTGCTCAACCAATGCCAGCTGTTATTCTTATCCAACCACCTGGTTTACAGATGGGCAAGATGAGGACTGAGGGCGGGGAAGTGTCACAAAGTGAGATAGCAGAGGTGGGATACCCCCCCACCCCCAACTAGTTTGTCTCTCATAGCCCCAACTCTGGGCCTGGGCCTCAGTTTCCCTATCTGCCAAACAGGTACAAGGCATGGGTGTCGGGGGCAACAGCTAAAGCTGGCTGTCATTCCTGCCCAGGGCTAAGAAAGCTGGAGGAGCCTGTGGCAGGACGAAGTAGGGGGCCATCCAGCAGAGGCAGGACCATGGGGCAGCCAGCCAGGGCTCTGGGAGGGTCCAGCACTTACTGCCTCTGAGATCCATCTTCTTTGTAGAAAGCCCGGGAACAGGGTGCCAAAATCGTGCGGGAGCCCTGGATAGAGGAAGATAAGTTTGGGAAGGTGAAGTTGGCTGTGCTGCAGACGGTGAGTTTGCTTGGATGCCCCTACCACTCCCACTGTTAGCTCCCCTGAGATGCCAGGATGCCCCACACCCATCCCTCTCCCCCCCAACTCCCTAATGCCATCCCCCCCTGGTGCCTCAACACAGACATTCTTCTTCAAGTCTGACTGTCTGTAAGGCTTGGCCAGTGTGCAGAGGCTGGTGGGAACTTCCAGTTCCTGCTGGGTGCTTCCCTTCCTCCCCTGCAAATGGAGGGGAGGGGGAAGGTGATAATGATAGCACAGGGATGTAACCCAAGGACAGGGGCTTTGAAGGAGGGAGCAAATAGGGTCTGGGGAAGTTCCACGCCGCTCTGGCTGTGTGACTTTGGGCAAAGTACTCCACCTCTCTGGGATTCATTTAAATGAGCAAGGACTGTAGCTGGACCACCTGTGTGATCTGCAACATGCCACCTAACCTTTCTGTGCCTCCAATTTCTTCAACCATCACCGATCCAGGTTCATTGGATGGGCCCAAAGGCTCAAATGAGATCATTCAGCATTTAGAACAACAGTGCTTTGTGGGTGTATATTGCAGACACCCAGCAAAGATTCCCAAGTCTATGCTCTTGTCATACAGAGACGATCACAGGTCCCACCGCCTCAGGATAAATACAACCTAAAGATCATTAAGATGATTGAAAGAAACTTTTTTATATAGATTTAATTTTTTTTTAAGATTTAATTTTTTTATGTATTTATTTAGTCATTGAGACAGAGAGAGTATGGGGAGAGGGACAACAGGATTGGCAGAGAGAGAATTTCAAACGGACTCTAAGCTGAGCACAGAGTACAACACAGGGCTCGATCTGACGACCCTGAGATCATGACCTGAGCTGAAATCAAGAGCCAGTCGCTTAACTGACTGAGCCACCCAGGCACCCCTTAAGATACAATTTTTATGTAATCTCTACACCCAACATGGGGCTTGAATTCACAGCCCCAAGATGAAGTCTTACACTTCACAGATGGAGCCAAACAGGTGCCCCAGAACCTTTTGATATAATTTGATCCAAAGCCCTCATCATTCTCACTTAGTTGACACATTTTCATTGAGCACGCATAATGAGCCAGGCACTACCCCAGGTGCTGAGGGCACCATGATGAGCAAAAACAGTGTTCCTACTCTCCCAGAGATTCTGGTCCCATGCGGCAGGCCGACTGTCAAAGAAAGTCCCGAACAAATGACAGATTGCAATTCATTTCAGAAAGGGGAATTGACTTGCCCAAGATCACACAGAGAGTTAGGAGTTAGGGTCAGAGCCAGGTGGGAACTGTGTTGGGTACCAGGAAAGTGGCCCAGTCTTGGCAGGGAGGGGAGCTCAGGGGCCAAGCCAGGCTGTTTTCCACCCACAGTACGGGGACACTACACACACCCTGGTGGAAAAGATGAACTATACCGGCCGGTTCTTGCCTGGATTCGAAGCCCCAGCATGCGTGGACCCCCTGCTTTCCAAGCTGTGAGTGCCCCTCGGGCTGAGGAAAGGAAGGGGGATAGATAGTCCTGAGTGCAGAGTGGTAAGTGATGCCCTGATGCTCCATGCAGACTGGGCTTCTCTGAGGGGCAGAGTATCTGGGAGCCTTCTGAGGAACTCCTAAGGGTCCCAAAGGGTGGCTTGAAGAGGCGGCCCAGAAGCTGAGCACCAAGGCTCTTGAACCAACTACCTGGGCTCAAACCCCCGCTCTGTCATCTTTTTAAAGATTTTATTTATTTATTTGAGAGAGACAGTGCATACTTGAGCAGGGGGAGGGGCAGAGGGAGAGGGAGAAGCAGACTACCTGCTGAGAAGGGAGCCCAATGATGTGATGTGGGGCTCGATCCCAGGACCCAGGACTATGACCTGAGTCAAAGGCAGATGCTTAACTGACTGAGCCACCCAGGTGGCCTATAGCTCTGTCATTTTCTAGCTATTTAACCTTCAGAGTGACTTTATTTCTGCCTCAGTTCCCCATCTGTAAAATGGGGCTAGTAATAGCGTGCAAATTGACAGCAACGAGGTCCGTCTAGTGTGTGCCATGTCACAGTGAGCTGTCACTGTGGGGAGGTGGAGATTTAGGACGTAGCCTGTCCTCATCTCCTAACAGCTTCCCACCCTACCACTAGGCCCAGCTGCAGTCTTGAGATTATTGACCACATCGTGGGAAACCAGCCTGATCAGGAGATGGTGTCCGCCTCAGAGTGGTGAGTCCCTGGCCCAACCCCTTGCTGCAAAGGAGACAGGCCCACTCCCCAGTTCTTGTCTCTAGACACCAGAGTGGGAAATGGAGCACAAGCCCTCAGCAGCTTACCCTGATGTCACTTGAGTCATCTGTTTCCTGGAGACCAGAGGCTTTCAGGCTCAAGGTGATCCACAAGTCCTCCCTCTGAGGACCCTTGGGGAAGCTTGGCACAGAGGGTGTCACAGTCCAGGGAGACCTGGAGGAAGCCTGTCACTACCCCAGATGGCACCCTTGTGCAAATGAGAAGCACGTGCCCTTCTCAAAGCACTTCTATCTAACAAAGGTCTTGTTATAAGACACTTCCCTTCCACCTGAAGGAAAATTGTGATAATAAAGATACAAGTCTACAGTGTGTGTGATGTGGATGGTGGTGGGTTCCTTTCTGGAGACTAGTCAGGGGACAAACTCTGGAAGGTGGAAGTAGGGACAAGGAGCCAGTCCCTGGCTGGCACTCAGAGCCAATGTGTCCTTACGACCATCCCACAGGTACCTGAAGAATCTGCAGTTCCACCGTTTCTGGTCTGTAGATGACACACAGGTGCACACAGAATACAGCTCTCTGCGTTCCATCGTGGTGGCCAATTATGAGGAGTCCATCAAGATGCCCATTAATGAGCCAGCACCTGGCAAAAAGAAATCCCAGATCCAGGTGAGGTCTTACCTGGACCATGAGTGTTTGGCTGGGCAAGAAGAAAGCAGGATGAGCTTTGAAGACTCTTGGGGGAGCGGAATGTGGGTGACAGGAGCTAATGACAATGTTTTCCTTGTTTCCCTCCCACAGGAATATGTGGATTATAATGGGGGTGCTGGGGTCCAGCACATTGCTCTCAAGACCCAAGACATCATCACAGCGGTTAGAAGCCCATTCTTGGCCCTAATTTCCCTTTCAACTCAGCTCCAGAACCAATCTGCAAAATGGAGAAAAGTGGGGCAGGAGGCAGGCAGGGAGGTAGTAGCAATCCTAGGCGCCCCCCACCAGCTCAGGCGGCTGACCAGGATCTCTCACTGGTTCCTGACACTCTGGTGCAGGCACAGTCCCACCCCAGAGAGTTGTGTTTCTCTGCAGATCACTGCTGGCTTTAAAAGTAGCAGGTGCCAGAGTAAGAGGAAGCCTGGATTCTAGTCCTAGTTCTGCAAGTGATTTGCCTTGTGTCCATGGAGGATTCAACACCCTCTCTGGGCTTTAGTTGCCTCACCTTGAAAATGAGGATATTAGGCTAGGAGATTGATTAGGTCCTTTGAGCCAGGTTAAATGTGCTGAGTCTGTGGAACCAGCCCTTGGAGAATCTGGGTCTTGGCTATTCCTGAGGTGGCAGGATATCAGAGTGAACAAGAGCCTGGACTGTCTCACTCCGTCCTGGCCTAACCAAGAAATCACTGGACGACCTTGGCAATTTCACTCATTCATTCACCCACTCACTGGATGTGTAGTGGGCACCTACTATGTGCCAAGCAGCCTTTTAGGTACTTGGGATACATCAGCCAACAAGACAAGAGTCTCTGCTCTAATGGATACAGGAAACAAAACAAGTAAAACACAAGTGTTAGGTGGTGTGAGTGCTCTGGAGGAGCACCAAGCAGGGCGATGAGAGAGGGAGGGTAAAGACTGCACATTTAAATAGGGCCGTCGTGAAGGGCCACATGGAGAAGGAGGCATCTGAGAAGGCAGAGCTGGAAGGAGGGAAGCATGTGGACACATAGGAAAAGTGCTCCAAGCAGAAGTGACAGGCAGGCAGGGGAGAGTTGAAGGCACAGCAAGGAGATCAGTGCTGCTGGAACAGAATGAGTGAGGGAGAGGGTAGGAGATGAGGTCGGGAGGTGGGAGTGAAGGCAGATGATGAGGGCTTTCAATCTGACTCTGAGACAAGACACCACCATGGGGTGAGCAAGGGAGTGACATGATTTGACTTGTCTTTTTAAATAAAATCACTCCGCGACTATGTTGAGAATAGATATTTAATCTCTTGATGCCTTGGTTTCCCTAGCTATGAAATGGGGATAGTAATTGTCCAGATATCTCAAGAAATTACTGCACATACATAATGAGGCAATACATGGGAAGTACTTAAGACAGACACATAATGAGAAATCCATAAATGTTAGTGATTGCTGTTCTACCAACCAAGCCTACAGGCCCCAGGCGTGGAAGGGCATGAGGTCTGGGGGGATGCATCCTGGCAGGCAAGGAGAACTAGGATAGGCACTCCACCTCCTCCTGGTTAGGGGTGCGGAGCAGGGAGCCAGGAGACTGACCTTGACCCTTCCCTGAGACAGATTCGCCACTTGAGAGACAGAGGCATGGAGTTCTTGGCTGTTCCATCAACATATTACAAACAACTGCGGGAGAAGCTCAAGTCGGCCAAGATTCAAGTGAAGGAGAGCATTGATGTCCTGGAGGTGAGGCTAGTGCAGGAGTGGTTTTTGTTGTTGTTTTTAACAGCTTTATTGATACAAAAGGCGTATAACATATAAGGCACTCTTTTAAAATGCTCACTTCCGGGCGCCTGGGTGGCTCAGTCACTTGAGCATCTATCTGCCTTTAGCTCAGGTCATGATCCTCGAGTCCAGGGACAGAGCCCCACATCAGGAGGTCTGCTTCTCCCTCACCCTCTGTCCCTCTCCCTGCTCCTTCTCTCTCAAATAAATAAATAAAATCTTTAAAAAATAAAGTGCACAATTCAATGGTTTTTAGCTATTCACTATGTTGTGCAGCTACCATCAGAATCAATTTTAGGGCAGCCCCAGTGGCTCAGTGGTTTAGTGCCGCCTTCAGCCCAGGGCGTGATCCTGGAGGCCTGGGATGGAGTCCCACGTCGGGCTCCATGCATGGAGCCTGCTTCTCCCTCTGCCTGTGTCTCTGCCTCTCTCTCTCTGTGTCTCTCATGAATAAATAAATAAAAATCTTTTTAAAACTCAATTTTAGAACATTTTCAGCACCCAAAAAGAAACCTCACACCCCTCATCACCACCCAGTGCCACCTCCCAGTGGCTCCCTGCAGCTCTAGGCAAGAATTCATCTATCTTCTGTCTCCATAGATTTTCCTATTCTGAACACGTCATATGAATGGACTCACACACCATGGGATCTTTTGTGTCTGGCTTCTCTCACTGAGCATCATATTTGCAAGGCTCATCCAGGTTGTAGCAGATGTCAGCACTTCCTTCCACTGCATGGCTTAATCATAGTCCACTGTGTGGGTATATCACATTTTTTTAATCTACTCATCAGTTGATGGACATTGGGTTGTTTCCACTTTTTGGCTATAATTGTGAGTAATGCTGCTGTAGTCGTTCGAATACGGGTTTTTGTGTGGACATATGTTTCTAATTCTCTTGGGTTTATACCTAGGAGTGGAACTGCCAGGTTGCAGGTAACCACCCTATGTTTAACCTTTTGAAGAAGTGCCAGTTTTCCCTAGGGGCTGCAACCACTTTACATATTCCACCAGCAACATAGGAGGGTTCTGATTTCCACCGGAGGATTTTAAATAGGAATGATACGATCTGATGTGTAAAAGATCCCTTGGGGTGTTTGTGTGGGGAGGGTGGATTGTAAGGAGGCAAGCCGGAAGCAGGGGGACCTGTGTAGAGACTACTGGGGTGATCGAGGACAACCTTGATGGTGGCTTACACGCCGTGGACTGTGGCGGGAAGGTGGTAATGGGAACTTTAAGGATCTGCTTGGAGGTGTCTGGACCTGCGGGAGAATGGGGTCTTTTCTTGGCTTTCAGGTGCAGGAGCTCCTACGGACTTTCTAAAGACTCCACCGTGTCAGAGTAGAGTGTGGGCCAGCTGCCCCCCTAACCCAGCCTCCTGTATCCTACCTAGGAGCTGAAAATCCTGGTAGACTACGACGAGAAAGGCTACCTCCTGCAGATCTTCACCAAGCCCATGCAGGATCGGCCCACGCTCTTCTTGGAAGTCATTCAGCGCCACAATCACCAGGTACCAGCAATTCCCAACCAGCCCCCGAGGGCAGGCAGGTAGCCTGGCTGGCTCTCGGGGCCCGCCGCTCACTTTCGTCTCTCTCCCCCTCCAGGGTTTTGGAGCCGGCAACTTCAACTCGCTGTTCAAGGCTTTCGAGGAGGAGCAGGACCTGCGGGGCAACCTCACCGACTTGGAGACCAACGGGATGATGCCGGGCATGTAAGGCCCTGCGGGCCCTGCGGAGACACCGAGGCCCCGCCCACCTGCCGGCGTACGGCGGGCCACGCCCCCAAGCCTGGAGCACGCCCACGCGCAGGCCCTCCTTACTGGCCACCCTTTAGACCCCGCCTACCCACCGCGGACCACGCCCCCATCGGCTGCGCCGCTCCCTGCGCCCGCCCTCCCGAATAAAGCCGACGGGTCCTGTGCGGGGACGTGGTGTTTGTGCCGCCCTTTGGCCTGCAGGGGGAGCTCCGGGCCGTAACGCTGCCGGACGCCTCCGAGTTCTGGTCTCAGCCCTCCCGAAGCCGGGGAGGCACCGGGTGCACGCGTTTTGTGCTCAGTGGGACCGCGCCGGTCAGGGAGAATTCTGGAACCAAGGGGTGCAGAGGGATGACAATCTAGAGGGGAAGACAGTATCATTTCACAGAGTGGCAAATGCCGTTATGAAGGTAAAGCGGTGATTGGGAGATGTTACAAATTTCGGTGGAGAGAAAGCGCCTCTTGGGGAGGGAGGTGAGGGAGTCAGCCAAGGAAACGCCCGCGGAGAGCATACTCAGGAAGGGTAGTAAGCCTCGAGGTGAAACCGCACTTGACAGCATCCCGTCTGACGGCTTTATGAGACCTGAAGATGAGCTCTCCCCAGGTTTGCTGCCCTGCGCCCAACTTGGAGAGGGGAGAGTGTCAGCCAAGGGGCTCCGGCGCACATGCCTGCTAAGCAACCTAGGGACCTGGCTCCTGGTCTGAGAAGGAGAGCAGGTGGGAGGGATCTGAGCCCTTAGGCTTCTGCCCTCCCGTTTTAAAACCGGAGAAAGGAATTGGGAGCTTCTGATACTTGTCAGATCTTCCTGCGAGTGAGTCAGCTCAGAACTGGGAGCAGACGGATCTGAGTCTAAGGAAAAATTCTAAGTTGATACAATAGGGAAATTGGGGATTTTTTCCCCCCAGCAGATTATAGAAGTCAGGGCTTCTGGGATCATGAACTTCAGAAATGAAAAGAACAGCAGTGAGAAGCCAGAGGAACAATGGCAGCCTCAGTTAAAAATACCTTCCTCTGTTTTCCCATGGCTTATGCAAAGCAGAGAAATTCTGTATCACAGAAGGTTGCAAACTGGTGGCTCATGGGCCAAATCTGGCTCACAGATGTATTTTATTTAGTCTGTATAGTTTTAAACGAATTTGAGTCATCATTTCAGAAAGTTGGGATATTTCACATACAAATTCTAGGATTCTGGTTCTTCTTGGAACAACCAAGCAGTTCTGGGCTGCCTTCTTATGGAGCAAGAATCAGCTGGTGCCAAGTGGTGGTGCCTCCTTAGATCGCACATGGGCAGAGCAGACCCTCATTAGCTGAGCACAGACTAGGGAGCAGGATTGCCTGGGTTCACAGCCCAGATCAGCTACCTGCTAGCTGTGTGATCTTGGGCAAGCTACTTGACCTCTCAGTGCCTCAATTTTCCTTATCTGTTAAAGGGAATGGTAACAATACCCAACTCCTAGCACTGCTGTATGTTTAATAGCAGAAGTTTACATCAGTGGCTGGCATGGTGTCAGTGCTGTGTTTGCTCTTATGATTTGGGGAGAGAGGCCTCGGTGAGGGGTCTTTGCCAGAGTCTGCATGGCACTTCCTCCTCCCCACCCCATCCTGGTCTACATGCAGATGGCTCAAGTTGGGGCTCCCTCGTTGGCCTCCATAGCGGGACCAAAGAAGAAAGGACCTGTCCTATGGGACTGAGGAGCAGAGGGAGAGGTAGATAAATTTGAAGAAGCAGGGAGGAAGAGAACCATCTCACTGGGTAGTGGAGGGAAAATGAGAAGTCTGGGGTTTCTGGGCTTTGAGTTTAGGTAACCAGCCACAGCAGAGTAGGTGAGGGGAGGAATAGAAGTGTCATTGACTAAGGTGGAGGAAGAGGAGGAGGTTCAAGAGGGAAGATGAAGGAAACTCAAATTTGGGCATTTCCTTTCTGTGCCTTGGGCTAGATGCCCTAGTTTGTCTTTATGTGCCCTGCAAGGCCCTACAGCATCTGCCTCCCCCTCTCCCTTTCTTGGGACCTGTCAGACCTCCTTTCCCTTACTCTCCCTTCCCTCATTCAGCTACAGCCACATGTGCTGGTCTTCAAATACACCCGGTGGCTTTCAGCCTCAGGACCTTTGCACTTATGGTTCCTTCTGCCTTCAACACCCTCCCTCCAGGTGTCCATGGGGCCAGCTCCTTGATCTCCTTTGAGTTTTGCTCACATGTGGGCTAAGCAGTTTCCCCTACTGTATTCAAAATCTCATACCCTCTCAATTTATACCCCTTTCTTGTAGATATTTTTCTCCTTATTATGACATACATGTATTCTTCAGGTTTGCCTGGCTCACTCACAACACAATCACCTAAAGACAGGGAGTGTTTTCTCTACTCCTATGTCCCCAGTGCCTAGAGAACTGACACATAGTAGGTGCTCAATATTTGGTTGAATGAACAGAATAGCCAGCAGCTGCTTCCTTTTTCCTTGTTCAGTCTCACCCTCAGCTCTTCCTGTCCACATGAATCCACCTAAAGGGTAACATTCACCTGTCTGGATGTACAATTCCAAAAACCAGCCTGCCACCAAAGACATCTCCTTGCAAAGTGAGGCTACAAAGAACATCCTTATACATACTGTTGCCTGCTTGAGGCTGTCAGGCTTGATTCCAGACAGTTGAACATTTGTGCCAAAGTTTATGTGCAGTTTTAACTGATTGTTAATATCTAATTATCCTCCTAAAGGTTGTGGCAATGTAAGCTTACACTACTGATGCCCAAGTGCCCACCCCCCCACCCCCCGCCGGCCAATATTGGCTATTTTGTGTAGAATCTACATTTCACTAGTCAGAAGGGAGGTTGGGCATTTTTTCTAGCCACGCTGCTTATTGCTGGGGTTTGGCATCTGTCCTCAGGGGTAAGCAGACATCTAACAAACTCTCCATTGGGCCCCTTGGCCACCCTGCCACTGGATCAGGCCGATTGAGACCCATAGGGGCACAGCAGCTCTGGAATACCAGAGACATTGGATCCGCCGAATGCTTCTCAACTGTTTTATCAGTCCCCTCCCCCTCAAATGCAAACCAGCGGCCTGTCTCCTTGAAAGGAATGGCAAACATCTTTAAGGTATGACCTTTTTCAATTTCTTCCAGTGAGAGCAATAGGATATTTGAATTTGTTTCCCAATTGCAAACCTTTAGCAGTGTCAGGTCCGTAAGATTTTATGAAAAGTTGTAGAAGCAAAACTTAAAAGCAAAACAAATCTTAAAAGGTCTAGTCTGACTATACCTTGGCCCAGTACACAGAATCCACCTAATAGGCTTAGGGTTTAAGAGCCACTGGTCTGAGTGGACCACACCACGCCTAGCTCCTTGTACCACCTGAGCCTTGCCAGACCACCCTCCCTTTGAGCAGAGTGTGCCCCATCAGAAAGAAAGGAGGAGAGGGAGAGGAGAGCAAGAGAGACGGCGTATCTGTAAGAAAAGTCAGTATATTTATGGTTTGCTTTATAAAAGTTACTATAATACAATGGTACATAGTATTGAATTCACAAAAATATGAACAAATATTTACAGCAAGACACACCCACAACGGAAACACTTCTCTTCAAAACAAGTTACATACGGATGACAGAGTCTATATGCACAAACATCCCTAAAATTTATGGGTTTTCTTCTTCGCAGGAGGAGGCAGGGTGGGACAAGAGGGAAAAAAAAAAGCAGAAACCCCCAAGTTTTCAAAAGCAAAGATTTGTTCAATGAAAACGAAGGCATTGACAGAAAAATGAGCCATGTTTCTGGATATGGCAAACCATTTTGGGGGTGGGGTGGGGGTTCCTGGGGACAGGGAGGATGCAGCCCCTCACCGGTCAGGCAAGGCGAGGCCAGGGGGCGGGGGGAGGAAGGCCCCCCAACCCTGGTTTCCTCACACCCCCCTCCACCTCTTCTCCAGGGAGAGGGGTGAGAATGAAGGCAGCCCCTTGGGGGCTGCACAAGTGACTTTAAATCAACCATCTCTACAAACTACACATTTCCTCATGTGAAAAATAAATATTTCCTCAGTTGCACAATTAGGCAGAAAACCGCAAACGGAAGAGAAGGTCGCCGCTATGCCCCGTCCCTCCTCTGTGTCTTAATGCCACCAATTTCATCGACCTTGAAACCCTGAAACCGGCGGGCATAATCTCAAACAGGGAGGGCGTGGGGTAAAGAAATTAAAAAAAAAAAAAAAAACCCACAACAAAACCAACGACAAAAAAAAAATAATAATTCTTTGTACAGAATTTACATGATAACAAGCTTGACACAAGCTGAAGATACCAGAGGCTCCAGGCCTGCATCCGCAGGGTGGGGGTGGCCCCGTTGGGAGCTCTCCCATCTGGGTGAGGAGGACTCCTGGTCACAACAGTCACTTTCCAGAAATTATTTACATGCCTGCTCTGCTGTCTGGGGTGCGAGGGACTTGCCTTGTGTGTGTGTGTGTGTGTGTGTGTGTGTGTGTGTGTGTGAGAGAGAGAGAGAGAGAGAGAGAGAGAGAGAGAGAGAGAGAGAGATTTTTGGAAATACAAAGAAATGAGCAAAAAAATCTTCCCACATGTTTCTACAAGAAACAATGTTCCCGAGAAAAAGTCCTTTATGGCAGCCTATATACAGAAGTTGGTTCTGAACTTCAAAAACCTATTTCTTCCCTTCGTTTTGATTTTATGCACACACAGGGAAAAAAAAATCCATAGAAATAAACCTTGAAGAGGATGATGGACTTAGATCTGAGTTTTAAAATCTTTTCCAAGATTTTCCTTTCTCTGGGAGAATAATCTTCTCACTCCAAAAATAAATATGCTCTTGCCTTCTTGGGATGAGGGGGCTGCTGGCAGGTTAAGTTGGGGTGTGGGCTAAGGGCAAGCAGGTGAAGCTTATAAACGAAAAAATGCCACATGCGTATGGTCAGAGACCCGTAGTGGCAGGACTGGAGGACCTGCCTGTCCTGGGAGGCCCCCCCGCCCGGGTGAAGGTGAGGGCAGGAGAGAGTAGACAGGACCTTTCCCAGTACCCCCACGCCCACGCTGGGGCCTCCAGGAGGCTCCCTCATTGCTGGCATTTGAATGAGAAAGTAAACATTGAACCCAAGATTTTTTGGGGGGATGGCAGGGCATGGGGTGGCAGGGAGAGCCCAGGGGGTAGTTCCTGCCTGGGATGCCCTTGGCTCCACCAGGGTCTGCTCAGGGAAATAGCGCCCTCAGGCTGCTGGGAAAGGAATGGAAGGGGGGGGTCTTCTCCTCACTGAGTCGTCACCAGCAGAGAGGGGGCCTTGCGTAGTGTTCTGAGGTCAGAGCCCAGTGGCCGACCCCCTCCTCTCTGCAGCACCTGGCCCAGCGCCCCGGCCCGGGGGTTCCGGAACGTGGGCCGACACACCATCACACCAAGGCTTTTGCGGCCTCCCCTGAGGGTCCCCGCTCTCTGGTTCTGCTTTCACATTTCAACGGTTAAAATGTCTTTTCTTAGGACAAGGAAGAGAGCAAAGAGAAGACAAAACAACATAGCAGCATTCATAGGAAGAGGCTGGGGAGGGAGGGGGAGGAAGATGAGGAAAGAGAAAGACAAGAGACAAAGAGATGGAGAGTAAGAGACATGGACAGAGAGAAGTTTACGCTGGAGTTCAACAAAAATCCTGAAGGGAGCATTTTAAAAAACCAAAGGGCTGTGGGCTGAGAGACGGAGAAGCCCTTTCCCGCTGAGGGGCTGGAGCTGCGCTGGGTCCTGGGGGTAGTGTTGGGGGCGCCAGGCCCTGACGTTGCCGCTGGGTAGGGGGCAGCACCTGAAATGGGGGTGGGAAGTGGGGCTGGGCCCCGGGCAGCCTTTTGCGGGGCGCCAGTGCAGGACCTAGTTGAGGGTCCCCCGGCAGTTCTCAGAGCCGCACAGGCAGGGGATCTTGACGTCCTCGATAGGGAACTTGTAGTCATAGGTGATCTCCTCATTGACGTTGATGTGCTGCTTCGAGTAGATGACAATCTTCTTCTGCGACTCCACTGTGATCACCTTGGCATAGCAGTTGGGCTGTGGGCGAGGCAGGAGGGGAGGGTGAGCCAATGACTCACCTGACAACCCACCCGGGCCCTTGGCCACAGGGCCCCTGAACCTGACTGGGCTCCACTGGAGGCCTGACTAATCTGCAGCATGACCCCCCGCCCCCATGCCTCCTGGCTACCCATGCTAGCCTCGACTGCTCCATCTGGGTGACAGGGACCCCTTCCTCGCCTCTGATACTAAATCAGAAAGATGATGACAATAATGATAATAAATTATTCCACAGGGCTTCAACTTCCATTTATACTACAGGTGACTCCCACAGTTAGTTTGTGGCCCAGACCTCATTTCTGAGCTCTAGAGAAGAGGTTAGCCAACTCCAGCCGCTAGCTGCTTGCTTCAGCAAGCAGAGTTTTATTGGCACACAGCCATACCCATTCATTTACATACTATCTACAGCTGCTTTTGTTACAATGGCAGAGTAGTTGCTAAGAGATCCTCTGGGCCACAAAGCCAAAAGTATTGACTATCGGGCTCTTTAAAGGAAAGGTTTGCCAGAAATCCAAGTACTTGCTTGATGTCTGCCTTTGGCAGCTCCAGAGGCATTTTTGGCTCTGTAAACTCAAACCTAAACTCAAGGGAGTGGCTCCACCATCCACCCAGGCGCCCAGGCCTCAGCCTCCCCCACCTCCCTCTCCCAGGGCTGGATCTGGCCCCACTGCCATACCCAGTGGGTTCCACCTCCAAAGGACCTAAGGATTCTGTCTACTGCTCTCCCACTCCACTGCCAGTCAGGCCCCTATCATCATTCGGTGGGCCTTAGCCGCATCCACTACCTCTTGGTGCACTGAGAAAACCTACTCCTGACCCAGTGGCCAGGGAAATCTTTCCAAAGGAACAGCAGATCCTGTCGTCCCATGACTCAAAACCTTCTAGTAGCCTGCTTGGCTTTTAGAGAAACTTCTCAGCTCTGCCTGCAAGGCTGAGTGATCTGGCCACCCTAACCCTGCCAACCTCATCCTCTTACCTGCCCCCTTTCCCCCTATACTCCATCTCTACTGCCCATTTAGCTGTTCTCTCCTCCAGGGCCTCACTGAGCAGAATGTTTGCTCCACTCACTGCCACCTGGGGGATTCTGTCCTAACCCTCAGATCCCATTGGAGAGGCAAGACAAAGTCCCCACTGGCCCAAGTGATGATGCAGCCATGGTTGTGAGAGCTAGCTGTGTCAGCACTCAGAGGGCCTGCACTCAGGAACACATCCGGTTCTCTTAACAACCTACAGGGAGAGACCGTTACCATCCATGTTTTACAGATCAGGAAACTGAGCTGCTGAAACATGATGTAACTAGCCTATGGACACTAGCCACATAGCGATGTCACGACTCAAAACAAGAGTTTGGCATCTTTGCTCTGGAACTAGCTGCCTGCCCCGTTTGAGGCTCCCTGTGGTTGTCTTCAGCATGAGAATCGTCCTCATTATCAACACTCCTTGGCCCCTGGACCAGCGCCGTCCACCACCATCACTAACTAGCCACGTGTGACTATTTATGTTTAAATTAAACTAAATAAAAGCCACATTTCAAGTGCTCACCCCCACATGCAGCTAATATTGAGTCAGTGGACGGCACAGATACAGAGAGCATTTCTACCACTGCCCAAAGTTCTATTGGCCAGCATTGCCCTAGAACGAACGCTCTGAGGGTTGAGCCCAGCACAGAGGAGGAACTCTGTAACAGTGAGCTGAGCGGACTACTTCTTGAGCACTTTATCTCACTGTGCCCATTTTTCAGAACAGAAAACACCCTACCCGCCCCCATCACCCTTGGGCAACCAGAGCTTGGGAGGGAGGCCACACTGATTCTGTGCCAGAAGCTTCTGGGTCCTTCAGGCACAGGCAAGAGTGGCAGTGGACCCCTGACAGGCACTCACATTGCAGCTGTGGTTAATGAAGCGTGCAAAGTTGCCGCACTTGGTGGCATCGATGATGGTGTCATGGTCCACCCGGAACATGTAGCTGCTGCCAATGCCCTCGTCCTCATAACGCTTCTCTCGCATGTCCGCGATCACCTGGCCAGGAAAAGGCCTCAGTCTGGGCTGGCCCCCCTTCTCCCACCCCTGCGCCCTGCTGGCCAGGCAGTGCCTACCTGGCGGATGTTCTGACCCACATATTCAATGACCATCTCGTCAGCTGCAATGGGCTCCATGGCGAATAGGCCCCAGTCGTGAATGTGGCTCTTGCAGAATTTGAGCTTCTTCTTCCGGAACTATGGGAAGGAAGGAGTTCAGAGTTGAGAACCCTAGTCTCTATCTCTGTCCTGCTGCCCCCCACCCCTGCTACCCTGGGCAGGGTCCAGCCTTACCTTGAGCTGGTTGAACTTGAGCAGGTCACTGTCACAGCTGCCAGTGAATGAGGACAACAGACGGCGCTGCTCAGAACGCCGCTCTGAGCCGGCCCGAGTGGAGGCGTGAGGCTGCGCGGGGATGCTCATGCCCTGCCAAGGACAATGATGGATCAGGAGAGCTGTGGCTGCCTCAGGGGAAGCTGGCCCACAACCCGTGGTCTGGGGTACCCATGTCCCTAGCACATCCTTGGCGACCCTGTCTTCCCAACTTCCTTGCTCTGGGCTTGTCCACGCCTGTCCCATCCCTACTTGTTAACTCTCTTCTTCACTTGTCCTTCTTTTTTTTTTTTTTTCCAGAGAGAGAGAGAGAGGCAGAGGGAGAAGTAGGTTCCATGCAGGAAGCCCGACGTGGGACTCGATCCCGGGTCTCCGGGATCACACCCCAGGCTGCAGGCTGTGCTAAACTGCTGTACCACCAGGGCTGCCCTCACTCGTCCTTCCTGACAGACTCTGAATGTCCTCAACATCCTCCAGGCAAACACAACAACACAACTTTCCCTTTACACTTGCTGTCTTTCCTGTCTCGGCTGGAAGATCTGAAGTACCTCCACTTTCAGGAGAGAAGATGGTGAGTGTCTATTCACCCCAACCCCTGTGGCTCTCATCATGGCCCCTTCCTTCCCTGGGCCACCTTTGTCCTCTGCCCTCCTTCCCACACGCCCTCTCCCTGGGTGAGCTCATCTTTGCTGTGACCTTCCCTTAACATTTCCACCCTGATGACCAGAAGGCCCCCTCCCAGGTTCTCTATTGCACTCAGAAATCCAGCAGCCTAACCCCACTACCTGGGTGTTCCACAAACCGCCAAAGTCCAGCTTCCCACCTCAGTGCTGGGCATCCAGCCAGACCCAGCAATGCCCCAGCCAATTCCTTTGTCCCCTGCAGCCAATCTGGCCCCCAGTTCTGTCCTTTCGGCTTCCTAATATTCTACTATTTCTAATAGTCTTTCAGGGCAGCCCTGGTGGCCCAGTGGTTTGGAGCCACCTTCAGTCCAGGGCGTGATCCTAGAGACCCGGGATTGAGTCCCACGTCGGGCTCCCTGCGTGAAGCCTGCTTCTCCCTCTGCCTATGTCTCTGCCTCTCTCTCTCTCTCTCTCTTTCTCTCTCTGTGTCTGTCATGAATAAATAAAATCTTAAAAAAAAAAATAATAGTCTTTCAAACACACTCACTTTTTTCTCACAGCAAACCCAGTCGAACTTACTTATGTGTCTGGACTGGGAACTGCAGCAACCATGCTAGTCTCCCCTCAGGACTCCTGCAGCCAACTCTCCACAAAGCAGCCAGTGGCAGCTTTGGAAACAACGGGTTGAACCATGTCACCCACACCCATGCAGCTCACTGTCACACACAGAACACAAATCTAACCTCAACGCCACAGCCTTCAGGCCCTGATGACCTGTTCTCTGTCTCTGGCCTCAGCTAGACTTTCCTTCCCTTTCTTATGCCACCCAAGATTCTTCCCATTTCAGGGCCTTTGCACATGCTATTCACTCTGTGCATGACTTCCAGACTTGGCGAGTACCTCTCCTGTTTTAACTTTTTAAGTAGGCTCCACATCCAACATGAGGCTCGAACTCACAATCTCGAGTCGCATGCTCTACTAATTGAGCCAGCCAGGCACCCTTCCGTTTTAAGTTTTTATCGAAGCCTTTTTCTACTTTTCTGTGGCCTCTCCCAGTTATCCGCGTGGCTCATTTCTTTACTCCATTCAGATCTGGCTGAACTATCACCTTCTCTGACCTCTCTGACTCGCCAATCCCTGACCTCCTTTCCTGCTTCTCCTACTTGAAATGCCATGTTTATATGTTCACTTGATTATTTCCTACCTCCCTACTAAAAGGTAAGTTCTGTAAAGGATTTTCTTTCATTCCCTACTGTAGACCCAGAACAGTGCCTAAAATCACCAGCACTCAACAGACATTTGCTGAATCTAAAAAGGAAAGAATGAACTTTCTGGAAACACAACTCCACTATCCTCACATCCCTGATGAAAAACTCAGAGGCTCCCTCTTTCCATCCTCGCCTCTCTTTTCCAACCTAAGCAGCCTGGTGAGGGGTAACACCCTCTGTGCCAGCCCAATTCCACAACCCCTCCTATAGCCCGGCACCCCAGCTAGGAAATCCCCCTGCCACTGCAGCCTGGGTGACTCCGGTGTGTCTAGGCGCCTGATGGCAGTACCTGGGTGTCTGTTGGGGGTTCATCGGTGCTGGCGCGGCTGCTGTTGAGGTATCTGAGCTTGTCCTTCTTGTCGATGGTATAGAAGCCCTCACTGCGGGCACAGCCCGTCACGTGCTCACGGATGCCATCATCCCGTTTCTTTTTCTTAGCTGAAGAGAGGCTGGTGGGTGGGCGTGGGTTAAGGGCCACATGGACATTCTTAGAGAGCCCCTCCCAGTCCTTCCAGAGACCAGTCCCACTGGACCCAGCCTCTACTCCTAGGGCCTCTACTCCTAAGGCCTAACTCCAGGGGGTTCTTCCCACCCCTGGAACCTAAGCCACCTCCATGAGGCTGCCCACTGGCCAGCTCTGATGGACAAAACTCTGCCAGGGGTACCTAGCTGCATGGCCCTGGCTGTTCCTTAGCCATTTCCTGCCTCAGTTTCCCCATCAGTAAACTGGGGTGATAACAATGCCTCTCTGCATGATCATGTGCTTATAGATTTCCTGCAACAGAGGAAGTGTTCAGTAAATCAGTTTGACATAATGGGGTTGATGACTGCTCCAACCTGATTGTGCTGCCTGTGGTTATTACCAACTATCAGGGCAACATCATGGTTAAGAGCCCAGATTCTGAAGGCAGACTGGCCTGGGTTCAAATCTTAGCTCTGGTACTTCATAGCTGTAGGACTTCAGGCAGGTAGCTTAACCTCCCTGAGTCTCAGTTTCCATATAAGATATGAATAACGGCCCCCTACCTCACTGAGCTGTTGGGAAATTAAATGAGGTGATGAGGGGGGCTAGGAAGAGTGGGCCCTGTCAATCTCTGCTGCCAGGATGTTGTACAATCAGCCCTGAGACCTGCTAACTCTGGGGCTGAGATGAGCCTGACAAAGAAGGTGTGTCTAGAAGTGCCAGTGAGGACTCCATATGGAGTCTGGTGTGGTGCCAGCACAGATGCTGCTTGGTAGGAGATGGGCATTTATGCTAGTGCCTTCACGGATGTCCTGGGAGATCGGGCCCAGAGAGGGGGATGAGGACCCCGCCCTGTCGGCTAGGATATAGGGATGGTAGACCCAGAGGGTGTCATTGAGCCAGTCCATGCCGTTGTCCTGCTGCAGCAGCCGCTCATAGGTGACACACAGGAAGCGGATGTCCTCCTCGTCAATGCCACCATTCCAGATGTCATACAGAATGGTCATCTCCTCAAACTCGGACCGGGGCCGGAAGAGGGGTTGTGGTGGCGAGAGTTCAGGTGAGGCTGGGGCCACCAGGTCCTCGTGGCGCTTCTTAGGCGGCCGGCGCCAGGGCCCCCGAACCTTGGCCAGGTCCATGAACTCCTCGGTGACCTCGTCACGCCCGCGAGGACCTGGAGGGATGGCCTCGGAGGGCCACTGGTTCTCTAGCTCCTTAAAGGGCAGCTTGGTGGGCTCAACAGGGGGTGGAGGTGGGGGTGGAGGAGGCTGGGGGGGCAGAGGTGGTGGAGGTGCTGGGATCCCCGCGTTCCGGAAGTCCAGGGTTACGGCCCGGGGGTCATGGGTACTGGGAAAGACAGGGGTCTGTGGCTGACCTGGCAGGAGGAGGAGGTCCCTGCCAAGGGCAGCCCCCGCCGGTGGCCGGACCAAGGGCCCATCCAAGGAGAGCACAGCCGGCGGGGACCGCCGGGGCCTGCCCGGCTTCCTCTTGATGGGGGGTGGGCAGGGGGTCAGCGGCGCTGGCAGCAGAGGTGGCAGCTGGGCAGGGGCCCGTGTCTGGGCCCGCAGGACAGGTACGGGCAAGGCCAGGGGCAGGGGCAGGGGCAAAGGCAGGGGGAGAGGCAGGCCTGTCTCCAGGAGCACCGGGGATGCCAGGGGGCCAGACCGCTCATCACGTCGGCCAGCTGGGAGGGGACAGACAGGCAGGAGCAGGGGCCCACCAGGCTCAGGGAAGGTGGGTGTGAAGCTGAAGTCCCGACCAGGTGTCCTCGGGAGACCCCCGCTGCTCAAGCTGGGGGACTGGGATGGGTAGGAGAAGGGGCTGCCAGGCACCTGTGGGGAACTCAGGGACAGACCGCTGCTGCCCCCTGACAGTGGGGGCTCCCCACTCGGTGTGGCTGGCACCATCTCTGTGCTCTGTGATTTGGCCAGGCTGCCACAGAGGCCGGGAGTACGTGGGGGCTGCTCCTCCGGAGGGGGCTCCAGAGGGGCAGGTGGATGTGCAGGGTCTGGGGTATCAGGCTCTGGTGGTGGGCTCGGCGGCCGGGGTGGTCGAGGGGGTGGTAGTGGCGGCTGCAGGGGTAAGGAGAGCAGCGGAGGGGGTTCCACTTCCAGGTCATCCTCTGCAAAGAGTTAGGCAAAAACCCGACTGTTACTATTCCATTCAAACAACTCTTGGTGCCTTATTTATGCTGTCCTACTATGTGCTTAATACCTGACCTCATAGTCCTCTGAGCCTCCTGGAGTTCTTTGAGTATGGGGACTGTCCCCCTATAGCTATACTACTAGTATAGTAGTAGCTATACTACTCAAGGCTTCTCTGTGCCCAGCCCAGGGTCAGGCACACAGTACATGCTTGAAAATGAAGGTGGAATAAATGAAAGACATAGGAGACATGGTTGCTAGCTAGCATTTGGCATTATGTCCTTAGAATGGTGATGTCCTGTGGATCAAGAAAATGAGCTCTGCTACTGAATAAAATAAATAAAATAAAATAATAAAATAAAATGTAAAAATTCAACAAGTCCCTTTTCTGCAGGACTTATCAGAGCCCGTCTCCTAGCATTTATCTTCACTGTCATATAATACATTTTTTTAGCTTATCTGCTGTCATTTATCACCCAGCCCCAGAATGTAAGCTCCATGAAGGCAGCTATTTTTGTCTGTTTGGCCCACTGTTGTATTGTCAGTGCCTACAACAATATTCAAGACTGTGGTTCTGTAGCCAAATAATACAGAATTAAACAAAATACAACAGGTTTTTTTTGCTAAACAACTTATCAGAGGTACAAACTAACCACACAAGGTTATGTTAAGTTTAAATTAATTAAACTTAAATAATGTTACAAATTCAGTTCCACAGTGGCACTTGCCACATTTCAAGTGCTCTTAGCAACACTGTGTCTAATAGCTATGGTATTGGCCAGGGCAGACAGAGGGCATCTTTATCGCTGCACAAAGTCCCACTGGATGGTATGTTAGAGCTTTTAATACACTTTGTGCAGTGCCACAGAAGTGGTGGTGCCCACAGCCCCTCTTACTTGGCCCAGCATCCCGGAGCCTCCCTCACCTGCCTGTCACTACAATGACCATGCACGCCTGCTCTCCCATCTCCCCACTTTTCTGGGAGCATCCCATAGGGACTAATGGGCCAAGGACCAAACCACGGGGGGAATACTGGCACTGAGTACCTGTGACAGCAGTGGTTCCCTTAAGGGAACCACTTAAGGACTAGCACCTTCTGGCTAATGTGCCAGGCTCCATGCTGGCACACTGTGTCACCTCACTTTGTCCTCCCACAGGACCCCATGGGGGAGACACTAGCCATTGATCCCCCAGATGAGGAAGCTGGAGCTCAGGAAGGTTCAGAGATTAACCCAAAGGAGCTTGGGCAGGACATCCTTCCTCCATCCCCACCGCCCCACTGGGGGCTGCAGGTATTACCTGGGGTGCACTCTGGAGAAGGCGGGGGTCGGGCCTCCACCTCTCCAGCAGGGGGTTCTGGAGACAGCAACTTGGCCCCTTCCTCCTTCAGGCCTGGCTCCTCGGGGGGCTCCTTGCAGCTAGCCAGCTCCTCAACACACACAGGCAAGGAGGGCTCTTCCGGCACGGGGGTCCTCTCCTCGGGAGCTTCATCCTCAGCCTCGATGTCCACTTCTTCTTCCATGGCTGAGGACTCCGTTACAGGTGCCCCTGTGGCCACATTCTCCTCAAAGTCCTCGTCAGGAGCCACAGGAGCCATACTTTCATCTGCTGCTGCCTCTTCCTCTTCCTCTTCCTCCTCCTCTTTCCTTCGCTCCAGCTCCTCTTCATCCTCTGAGGACGATGAGGAGGATTCGGAGCTTGATTCGAACTCAGAAGACTCAGAACTCTCGCTGGAGGACCCAGCTCCAGCCTTGGAGGTGGGGATGCTTACAGTCTCCTCTGGGCAGGGGACACAGGCAAAAGCCCTTCAGTATCTGCTGTGCTCCAGCTAGACACTTCACCAAAAGTCTCAAACTAGGGCCTCTGCACTGAATGGGGCCCTTAGACATCTGGGGGGGGGGGTGCGTGTATGTGCACACACTCACATGTACTTGTGTGTGTTAACTAATCACCATTTTTAAAACTTGAGGTGAATCCACAGAATGTAAAACTAACCATTTTAAAATGAATAATTTAGTGGCATTTACTACATTCTCAGTGTTGTACAATTACCTCTAGTTTCAAAACACCCTCTGAGCTCAAGAAGAAATCCAATACCTTTAGTGTGATATCACCCCTCTATCCTCCCACCTTCAGACCCAAGCAACCACTGGTTTACTTTCCATCTCTATGGATCGACCAACTCTAGATGTGTTAATATAAATAGAATTGTACGGTATGTCATATGTGTGTGTTTTAATGACTTCACATTTTGAAGGCCCCAAAAGTATTGCTGGAAAGCTCCTCAGGCTCTGCTCTGCAGAGGGACCCCGGGCCACCACCTGTGCCACTCACCTCCATCTGAGTCCACTTCTTCCTTCTCACTCGCCTCCGACAGGGCTATGTCCTCATCGTCATTCTCAGACTCATCCTGGTCCTCACTATCTTCATCGTCATCGTCATCGTCATCCTGGGGGAGAAGGATGGGAGGCCAGGATGAGCCAAAGAGGCCCCCTCACCTGGCCCATCATCCCAGGCCTCCCCAACCTGAATGTACCTTATCTGACGTAGATGAGGTTGAGGAGGAGGAGACCTGGCTTCTGGGGCCTTCCTCCTCCTCCTCTTCCTCCTCCTCTTCCTCTTCCTCCTCCCCCTCCTCTTCCTCCTCAGTGCTTTCCCGCTCCTCCTTGTCGGAGGCAGAGGACGAGGGTGAGGTCGTGGAGGAACCCGAGGACGAGGATGCCGATGACGATGAGGACACTGACAGTGACTCCTTCTCGTCCTCCTCCCCACCACTGTCCAGCTCCAGCGGCCGGGCTGGCCTTCGCCGCACGCCCACTCCCTTGGGGTCCCGCTTGGTGAGCTCGCAAGGGGCGTCCGCCATGTCCCGGTCCCGTTCACGCTCTGACTCTGCAGGAGAGAAGGGTGTCCGAGCCAGGTGGAGGAAACGCCGGAGGAGACTCCCCCCCGTACCGGGGGCGGGGGTGGGGGGTAGGGCACCTACCTTCATCTTCCTCATCCACAGAGGTTGAGGGCCGCAGGCGCTTCTGGTCACCAGCAGAGGCTGTGTCTGGTGGCTCTTTCCTTTTGACCTTGAAGGAGGGCAGGCGGATGGCCCCACGTAGCCCTATGCCCAGGCCAAGGCCTTCATAGCCCAGGCCCTCACCCTTGCCCCACGACTCCAGCAGGCACGAGGCGATGCGGTCCTTGGGCTTTGGCCTGTCCTCATCCTTGTGCTCGCCTGACTTCACCGGGGTCAGTGAGGCCTGCAGTGCCAGAGAGGAGGAGACTGTCACCCTGGTTATGGTGCTGCCAGTGACTCCTGTCGGGTGGCCCTTTCTGAGAGGGCTACCCTCCCCCAAAAGAGACAGCCACATAGTAACTGATACTTCCTTCCCATAAAACTGGCTGCACTTGGTGCCCACTGCTCCAGACATTCCCTGCACCCCTCTCTGCCTCTCTGAACCTCAACTTCCTCACTCACACACAAGCTAAATGCAGAAACTATGCATCCATGTCATCACAAAATAACACCCATGCTGTCCTATTGGAGCAGTGACTCTGATAACATGTCTTGGGAGGAAAGAGAGTGCTGGCTGCCCACCTGGGGAACCCCATGCACCCACGGCCTACCTTGGCCATCCGCTCTTTCTTGTCCCACCACTCGTCGAAGGCCCGGAAGGCCACTACCTCCACCATCTTGCGGTTCAGGTCACGCTTCATGATGGCCTTGAGCTCTTTGAGCACCACCAGCAAGACGCCATCTACAGTGGCCTTGTGTGGGTCCTCCTGGCGTGGCACATAGCCTGGTGGCGGCACCGATGGGTCAAACTTGGGGAGGGGTGGCCAGGGCTGCCCGCGGCCCGGTCCGCTGTTGCTCAGGGAGAACGGGCCCCGGTAGGGCGGCAGGTTGACAAACTGCAGCCCAGCTGAGGCTGCTGCTGCTGCTGCAGCAGCCACAAAGGGTGGGTAGGGGCAAGCGCCCTGGCCAGTCATCAGACGGCTCAGCATCTGTGTTTGCATCTGGAAGGACATGGGCATGCCGCCCCACTGGCCACCCAGCACGTGGCTCATGTCCACCTGCATCACGGGAAATAGCCCTGGGGGGAAGGGTGGCAGCGGTGGCAGGATGGGTGGGGGTGGGACACCAGGCGGGGGCGCTGGGAGTGGAGGGGGGGGCACTGTCACAGCAGGGTGGGCTGGGGGTGGTGGGGGTGGTGGTGGTGGCAGAGGTGGGGGCATGGGGAAGCCTGGCTGTGGTGGGGGTGGTGGCGGGGGTGGGGGCAGTGGTGGGAAGCCAGGGGGCGGGGGCAGCGGCAGGGTTGGAGCCAGCACGGAGGGGGCTGCCACGGCCGCCGCCCCTGGGGTCACCACCATGGGTTTGGGGCAGTCGGCGCTGGTGATGGGGGCTGAGGGCATCTCATCATCCGAGATCTCCATGTCCTCGCCTGAGGACTGCTGACCCTGCAGAAAGAGTCAGGAAAGAGTGGTAAGGTGAAGCCTGGGAGGCCAAACTGGCTTCTAGAGCCCTTCCAAACACCAGAAAGTCAGAGAAGCCTTCCATGAGACTAATGAGCAACATGGTTTCTGAGGCTCAGATCCTGGTCCCCTCCCTTATGGACAATGTGGCCTTGGTGAATCACTTAACCTCACTAAGCCCCCAGTTTCCCCATCTGCATAATGGGCATCACACTATCTGCCTCATGGTTGTAAGGATCCATTCATTCACTCAACAAACATTTGTTTGGCACCTGCTGTGGGCCAGGCACTATTCTAGGTGAACAAGACAGACGGAATTCTTGCTCTCATGCAGCTAACCTTCTAAAGGGAAGAGGCAAAGGATAAGCAGAATGAAGATGTGAAATACATAGCCTACCATGGAGGAAAAGGAAGCTGGGAGGGAGACAGGGAGGTGACACTACAAATGAACACTTCTATAGTGCTTCCCACATCCAACCATCTTTCTAAGGACTTGATGTATATATTAACTCAGTCCTCAGACTGACTTTACAAGGTAGGTCTGTTATCTCCATTTTTACCAAGGAAACAGGAATGCATAAAGCTTAAGTAACTTGTCCAAGGCCACAGAGCCAGTAAGAGAGGGAACCAGGATTCAAACCAGTCAGTGGCTCCCCAGCCCTCATTCCCAGTCAGCCTGCTGTCCTCACTGCAGCAAAGAGGGCCAGGTGGCGAAGGTGATGTCTAAGTAACAAGGTTTAGCAGTATTAAGGCTGTATCAATAGGAGGTGTAGCTTTATTTTCCTTAGTTACTCTTTGCAAATTGTCTTGAGGCTGCACATAGTGTGGGCCAGCATGGGGTTGAGTGTTGCGGGTATGAGGTGTTTTATTTCTTATCTGCACTGTAGCCTTGCAAGGTGGGACTTGACTCTGATCCCTCTGACAAGTGAGGAAACAGCCAAAATCCACTGGCCTAGGAGGCACAGCCCTTCAGAAAGAAGGCTGGGACTCAGCTCAGTATGCCTGCCTGGACATGGTGCTAATTGGACAGGGGAGGAGCCAAGGATGACCCCAGCTCTGAAATGGGCATGGACCCATTTATACTGGGACACAAGGCTTTGGGGAGTTGGAGACACAGGCCTGGAATCAGAAGGAGGTATTTTAGTGTACATGGTAGAGATGGAGTGAAAAGGCAGGGCAGGGGTAGGGGAGAGGAGAGTTGGATCACCCCCAGGCTCTAGTGTCAGGACACAGGTGAGAAGGTGGCTCAGGACCTGCCCTAGAAGAACTTGGCTGAACAGACAAGAGCCTTTGTAGGTTGGAAGAGGCAGGGAGCACATTTGAAGGCTGAGGGGGAGAGGTCTGTAGAGGCTATAAGGTCAGAGGTCAGATCCTCAGGAAAGGGACTGCTCAAATGGAAATGGGGGGAGTGCTGTGGGGAGGAATACCAAACTTGCAGCAGCAGGAAGCTCCGGATTTTGTTAGACCCCCTCTACATACATGCGTGCATACGCGCGCACACCCCCCCCTCCCTCTCAGGGTCCGCGCGCAGGCTGGAGAGGCTGCTGGCCCGCTTAATGTGATTCGCGCGGACCTACCCGGAGATCAGGCCGGGACAGCGCCCAGCAAGGCGAGCGCAGCACACCGAGGGTTAACCCGGCACCGCGGCCAGCCAATCACGAGGAGACCCGGATCCGGCGCTGCTCGGCCCTGCCCCTCCCTCCGGCGCCTGGGGGTGGGGGTGAGAACCAGCGGGAACTAGCCCAGCGCTGAGAACTCAGCACCAGCCCGCGCCGCCCTGCCTGGAGCTTCCCTTGCGGCGCCTCACTTAAGCCGTAGACAGTGTAAGGCAGGTACTTGCGCCGTCCCATTTCACAGACGATGAAACTGAGACTCAAAAGAGGGAGAGTACCTTACCCAAGGTCACAGAACCCGTAAGTGACAGAGCTGGGTCTCCAGGCTCAAGGACTGGAGCCTGAACTTTTAATCACCAGCCTCTGTGAAGAAAGGGAATGGCCCTCAGTGGTACGCCCCGCTCTCTCTCCGGGAGTCTTCAGCCTAGTCGGGGCTTAGGACTGCCTCCCGGTTCCGTCTGGAGGAACCTGGGTGCTGCTCTCCAGGCTGCCAGCAGGGGGCTCCCGAGGGCCAGCGTGGCCGTTACCAGTACTGTGGTCTTCCTAGGGCTAAAGTCCTGAGGCATCCCGACCTCACCTCTCTTGGGCCTCAGTCTCCCACTCCCTACAATGACAAGATGGGAGAGCTCAGTCCCTCCGGTTACTCTGGGCTTCCCAGTCCTAGACGAGCCTGCCAGCATGGTAAACAGCCCCTAACCCCGGGCAGCAGAGAGGGGAGAAAAGATAGCAAGGTTGCTAGTCCCCCACCTCTGCACACCTGTTAACTCCTCCTGCTCCGACCCCTTGGCACCAGAAACCACTTCCCTAGAAACGCCTGGAGGCCCTCTGGAGCCCCAGCCACCTGCAGTCCCCTCCTGGGCAGGCCAAGTTCCTTTCTGTTCCTCCCTGAGGCAGCCAAATCTGCCTAATCAAAGGGCCTAGGAAGGGGGGAACCCTTCTTCCTGCCACCCACGGGGCCAGAGAGCTTTGTCGAAGTCCCTGGCTGCTCATCCCCACTGGGCGCACAGGTTCCAATCCAGGCCTTCAGGAGGGCCATGACAGGTGCCTGGACCAGGAGTGGGGAGCAGAGCCAAGGAAGGTGACCTGAGCCTTCCCTCCAAGGGACTGCAGCACACAGTAGCCCCCACCTCAACCCTGAGGCTGGATATTTGGGTAATAAGACCCCAGATGAGGATCTATGAGTGAGGATGGTGAAGAACGGTCAATTTTGCCTGTTTCTGGCTGTGGCCCTCCCCCTGGGCTAACCCTTAACTCCTTCACTCCTGGAGACAGAGGGAGAGGACTAAGGGAAATTTCAATGCCCTCCCTGCCCACCCACAGCTTCCCATCTCTTTAGAGGGCACCAGATTCTTGAAGCCAGTGCTCCAGAGCTCCCCCTGGCCTAGCCTAAGAAGGCAGTCTCTAGCTAATCCCTCTTCCCAAATAAGCTTGAGCTGCAGGATCAGCCCTGACCACCCTCCAGCCACCCAACAGAGAAGGGAATTCAGAACCATTAACCACAGTCCGTACTATCTGAGGTCTCAGCAAACTCCAACCAAAGAAGCCCAAGTCAGAACTGATCCCTAGAAGATGTCTTCCCACACCTAACAGAAGACCCAACAGAACTAGGTCAATGTTTCCCTTCTCTCTATGGCTACTAGGTTGCTCAGAGCCAAACCAGCGGCTCAATCACAGCTCCTGATGCTTTTTTCATTCTCTTTTTATTCTCTGTGTTTGACCTATTATTTTAGCTGCCCTAACCCTGTTGCTTCTGCATTTTAGCTAATCGTCCTAAGGTGATAATGTTTCAGAGGAAAGAGGGAGACACAGAGACAAAACCAATCCAAGACAGAGGTGGACAGACATGGTGGTACCTCATCCATCTTCTCTGAGGTTGGGGTCCTGTCTCCAGCCAGGTCCAAGGCTACCTCAGTTGTCTGGCCCAGAAGACCAGAAGGGTCCGGGGGGCCTGGCTCCGGAGGGGGCCGGGGCCCTGAGCCCAGGTCAAGCTCATCATCCTCATCTGAGTCAGGCAGTGGCGTGGGGCTGATATCCTCCAGGCCAGTGCTGGAAGGGCGTGAGGATGGTGGTGTGGGGCCTCGAAAGCCTGGCTGGGAGTTGGTGCCAAAGGGGGCCAGTGGGGAAAGCTGGGAGGAGGAGGAGGAGATAGGGCTGCCCTCCATCTGCAGCTCTGTATCTGAGTCCTGCTCCCGAAGGAAGGGCAGCTTGGTGCGCTGTTCCTTCAGCAGCATCTCGATGCGGGAGTCCAAGCTATCATGGGGCTTCTCCAGCCCAGCCGGGGATGATTCCAGCGTAGGCGTGCCTGGACTGTCGCAGGGTTCAGGACTCCAGCCGAAGGTGGGCCGGCCACCCAACTCCATGCTGTTGGCATCGGGAGGTGGTGGGCCAGGTGGTGTGCCCGGCTTCTCCTTGGTCAGGGGTTCGGTGGGTGGCAGGGGTGGTGGCACAGGCGCTCTCCTGAATTCCCCACTGTCGCGGGCCCCAAAGGTGGTCGTGGTGGTGGGCTCCTCGGGCGGTGGGGGGAAAGGGGGCACAGGGGTCTGATATGGAGAGAAGGTCGACTTGAAGGTGACTCCAGAAGTGGGGGTTGCTTGGGCAGGTGGCGGAGTGTGGGCGAATGTGGCCGAGTCCTGTGGTTGGGCCTTGAATGGAGGGCCACTGTTGCCTCCACTGCTGCTCACTGCCCCAAATGGGAGGTCCACGGAGCCCCTGAAGGCTGTGGGGGCCCCTGCCACTGTGGTGACCGCACAGGAGTTATGGACGTAATGATGCTCGTGGCGGCGGTTGTAGGCATCTGTGAACTTGCTTTCGTGACGCCTGGTCTTGAAGGTCACTGTGGGGTCCTGGCTGAAGAGGTAGGAGGGTGTGGGCTGACGGCTGGAGTAGCTGGAGTCCTGCGAGAAGGGGGTGCCCAGGCGCGGCGTGAGTGGCGTGCCCTGTCCGTAGGAGTTGGGTGTGTCTAGGCGGCAGCTAGAGTACGCGGTGTCCTGGGAGAAGGGGGTCCCTCCGCTATTGGGGGTTACAGAGGATGAGCCAGAGCCACAGCCCGCAGACAGGCTACCATCCTTGAGGCGCTTCAGAGCATCTGACAGCTAGGGAGGGAGAAAGAGAGGGGGAGCCGTGTGTGAGGTTCTGCAGTGGAAGGAGGCTCTTCTCCCTTCTCACTCTGGGGATCTTAGAACCAAGCTGGTCACTCTAGAACTTCAGCACAGTAAAAGGAATGGGGGAGGGGAGATTGAAGAGGAGTTTCTGGATGGTCCTAAGTTTTCTTTAATCTTAGGATAGCTGGTTATCCTCAAGGAACCTTGAGGACTTCTTATAATCCCTAAACAGAGAAAAGAGAATATCCTGACAGCTTGGTTTGAACTGGGATTTCCTTCCTGTCTCAGATTGTCAGAAATCAGACCTTCCAGCAGGATGAACTATGGTTTGGGTAGTGAAGGGGTGGCCCTGTTCCCTCTGGTCTCCCAATGTTGTAGGAGTTTAATAGCATGACATGGTTAAAAGTGCCTAATGAACAACCTAGCAAGTCAGCAAGACTCTTCGTTCTGGAAGTGCTACTCCTGAGGATAGTTGAATTGTTGCTGGGAAAGAGCTGGATTGAGCATCTCCCCATGTAAGAGTGGTCTAGGTGGAAGGCAGTGGTTGAATAAGGAGTCAGTCTTGCTCTGGAAAGAAGGACCTATACCCTGCTTTCCAGGGGTGGGGGAAGAGCAGTGCACAGGGCATTAGACACAGCAACGTTTCAGCATCACCACAGAAAGTGAGTCTTAGTAGGCGCTGGTCCAGCACTGGAGGTAGTGGAGTGGAGGTAGGGGGCATATCACAGGTTGGTGATGCGAGAGAGAGAGAGAGAGAGAGAGAGAGAGAGAGAGAGAATGAATGTGTGTGTGTTCGTGTCAGGGGATGGGTACTGATGGTGATAAACCCACCTGCAGGTTTTCATTCACGATTGGAGAGACAGCATCCAGCTCACCCACTGGGAGGGTCTGGGGTGTGTATCGGCCCGTGACCAACAGTTCGTAGAACCGCATGCGGGTTTCCCCTGTGGGAAGGACAAGGGAAGGAGAACTGAAGGAGGCTCCAGGATGGAGCAGACCCCCCAGTTTGGCTTCCTTGTGGGCCCCTGTGCCTGAAACCCCAAGCCTGGGAAACCGTGTGACCCTGACTGGGTAACCACCTCACTGAGAAATCCTGTCTGTTCAACAAAGCTGCTAAACTGTATGAATCTTTTGACCGTAAGTCTCAGAATTTAATCCTCTGTGGGGCTGGGACTCCCCCCAAAACAGAAATGCCACCCCAACACAAAGCCTCTTCCTATCACTTGGGCCACGGCACCAGAGCAAAGAGTTAGGTTTTCTCACTTAACGGCCAGAGCCTATAGCAAGTGGAGAGACCCAGGAACCCAGAGGTGACAGTTTGTTGCTAACTATCTGGGGCTAGGTGACCAGCAGAGTTTGTCCAACACACTCTAGTACCACACTACTGTGAACTCCACCTGTCCCTCCTCTGGCAGGGCTGCCCTGGCTCCCCAGCTCTGCCTGGGACTCAGTTCCACAGAGCCAGTCTGGTAACCCTTCCTCCTCAGCAGAGAGGCCTCTATAGACCAGGGGGCCCCAGATTATTGATATTTATAGAGCCCTCTGAGGCAGCTGCTTACATATGCAAAGGAGACGCATTCCTTGAGCAACACTTTACACTTTACCGGTCTCTTTCTTGAAATACAAAGTTAGTTGGCAGTCTCTGAGGGCCTCCCACTTTTTTTATTTTTTGGTCTTTTCAGAAATGAAATTTTGGTGAAAGCTGGTTACTCCTTAAAATGGGCATGTGATGGGGAGACGATTCCACATTCAATTCTCAGGGAGACATTGGACTGCAGCCACCCAAGGGATATGCAGATTTGGAAGGGTCTGTACTCCCCAGAGTGAGAAATTAAGAGAGAGAGGGGTGCTGTGGCTTAGGCAGGAACCTGGGCTGTGCTCTGAGGAGACTCAGAACTAGGTACAGGCTTGGCAAGACTTTGTGGGATAACTGTGCCCACCCAGTTCTAGTAAGATCTTAGAGACCCAGTCAATGTACATTCATTAGTTATTAAAAGCCAAAAAGAAGGGTTTGGATTTTCCTGTTTGGGTTTGATGTGCCCTGGTTGCCCCTGAACCCTGTGCTCACAGAACAACTGGAAGCTGCCCATCTATGCCTTCCCCGGCAGTATCTCCCAGGAGGCCCCAAGAGGCACAGGACCCACCAACAGTGCCTGCCCAGTCACAGGGCAGGCTGCTCCTCAGGGCACCCAGCACCTTCTTCTATATTGGTGGGAACTGCCCTAGAGAGGCCACAGGCGAACTTGAGGGGGATGCCCTATAGTCCTAGTCCTGAAAGCCCCTCCATTCAGCATCCAGGAGAAGCCTCCCAGGAACCTAAGGGAGGAAGAGTGGCTTCTCCAGCAACACTCTCCCAGCAGCCAGCTCAAACTGAGCACATAGCAGGATTCCGGTGCATGGGAGGTGCTGCTGTCTCTTTAAGAGAGAGGAGGGAAGGCAGAGTGTCAACCCTTGAGCACCCAGAGCAGCCCGCCCAGCTTCGGAACATCATCAATGAAACCAAACTCTGGGCCCATATTGGTTCCCACTTCCAGAGGGAAGGGATAGTATTAGGGGGGTGGAGACCCTGGATTCTTGGAGGACTCTCTTTTCAGTTGAAGGACCTACCCTTTACGTATTTAAAGGCATTCTAGTGGCCCTCCCTCAGCCCCTCACAAATAAACAAACCCTGCCTCCTTCCCTAACACAGATGGCAACACTGGGGACTACCTAAACCCAGGCCACCAGGGCTCCGAGACGGGCCCACAGGGGTGTCAGTGGTGGGGAAGCCTCTGGGTGGTCCCCGGGGGTATATGCAGTAGCCAAGGACAGCACATTTGGTAAATTATAGCTTGTCTCCTAGCAACCGACAACACATTTAGCTCCACGTGACTCTACCCTCAGGAGGGGGCAAAGAAAAAATAGGGTTGGGGGGGCAACACTGAAAGAGGGGCTCTGGGAGGAAAGGGAGCCATAGTGACAGGGCCTGCCTCTGGCCAGGGTAGGCTGTCCTAAGGGGCCCGCACTCACCTTTGGTGTCCAGCTCCACGTGGATGATATTGCCCATGACAGAAGTGCTATGCAGGTGCTGAACTGCCTCCTTGGCTCCCCTGACCGTGGCAAAGACCACCTTGGCAATGCCCAAGTGCTTCTTGGTCTTAGGGTTGTACAAAATCTCCACCTCCTCCACCTCTCCATACTTCTTGCACATGTCCCTCAGGAAGTTTTCTCGGATGTTATCATTTAGCTTGGCAAATGTCACCTGCTTCGGAGGCACCGGGCCCACGTAGAACTCATCGATCTGGCAGGGACGAAGGGGAAGGGAGTTGGGAGAACATTGAAACGGAAGGGAAACAGAACATTCCCCAGTCCCATGCCCGTTGAAAACAATGAAGGGTGAAAAATAATTTTGGGGGGTGGAAATGCACGCGGGCGGGCCCGGGAAGCGGAGGATTAAATCGTTTGGAACGTGGAAGTCCTCTGGGTTCGAAAGGAAAGGGGAAAAAGAAACAGTTTCTCTTTCCCCACCCCCCATTCCGGCCTCCTCTCCCTGCTGCCGGGTCAGGGGCGAACCTTTGGTCTAGGAAGTTGTCCCCCTTAAGCCACAAGGCTGAGAAGGGGGGCGGGTCCCGGGGCAGAGCCGCCCGGCCCAAAGGAGCCAGGTGGGGACCCGGAGCCCCGAGCTGGGCCGGCAGGACACTGTATCAGTCCTCGATTACAGTTTCACGGAGTGTTACTCTGTTTACAGCAGCCGAGAGGGGACACCCCTCTGGCTGCCATCTCCCCCTCCCCGCCAAAACTCCCCCGGCCGTGGATGGCGCGGGAACTCCGAATCAGGCTGGGCTCGGTCAGGACTGGCGTTATTTTCGAACTCGGGAGTGGGGAGGGGTGGGGGAGGGCCCGTGGGGTCGGGGGGAGGGGTCCTACCTTGAATTTGGGCACCGACAACTCCAGCTCCTTGTTTTTGGTCCAGATCCCAACGACCCGGGGATCTTCGACAATTTCCACCGGGCGGTTGCTGGACATCTGTGGGGAGGAGTGGGGGGGCGGGGCGGAGTGAGAGGGCCGGTCCCACTCCCCAGGGGCAGGGACAGACCCCCCTCTCCAGGCACTTGTCAAACTCCAGGGCTGGGGGACCCGGCTGACAGTTGGCCGGGTGGTCGGATGGGGGTGCCGCGGGCCCCTCGGACCTCTTGCCCCCCGCCCCCGGCTCGGCTGGGGGGGATGGGGGGGGCGGGGAGGCGCGCCGGCTACTCACCGCCAGGCTGAAATGCTGCCCATCGTAGCGGTACAGTTTATGATGTCCCTTTTTCAGAGCCGGGTCAATCATCAACTTGTAACTTCTCCAATGGTGGTTCCTCCTCTCGCCCGAAGGGCCGGGCTGCGGCGGGGGCTGCTGGTGGTGGTGGTGGGGGGGGTGACTGTTCTCCATGCCGTTAACCCAACCTGAAAACGAGCAAGTTGTTGTCGTCTCCGCCGCGACGGCGGCGGCGGCGGCCGCTTCTACACACACGCGAAAGAATCAAATCGTCCAGCCCCCACCCCCTCCCACCTTACCAGCGCGCCCCAAAAGGGGCTGTCTAGCTGGCTCCCCCCAAAATAAGAATAGAGCGAGAGAATAAGCCTTCCGGGAGAATTAGGAGCCCGCCCGCTCGGCCACCGTCTCGGGGCGGCAGCGAGGGGCTCCCGGGGGCCCCCGGTGCGTGCTGGCGGGGCCCGGGGCGCCCGGAGGACGCGGGCTCCGGCCCATGGTGCTCGTCCGGCCGCCCGGCGGCCCGGCGTGGCGCTCGCTCTCTCGCTCGGCCCGGCTCGCGCGCTGGGCTCGCGGCAGGCCTGGCGCCGCCCGCCCGCCGCCCGCCCGCCCGCCGGCTCGGCCGGAGCCGGGGCCGGGGCCGGGGCCGGGGCCGGGGGCTCGGGCCGCCCGGCTGCCGCCCGCGGCCTCTCCCTCCCGGAGCCGCGCTTACATCCCCGCCGGGCGCCGGCCTCCCTGCGCCGCCAGCCAGTACATGGTGTCCCCCGCGGGAGCCGAGGCCGGGGCGGCCGGACGGGGGGCCGGGAGGGGGGGGCGCCGCCGCCGCGGCTGCCGGGCCCGGAGCTGCTGCTGCCGCCGCCGCTGCCGCTGCTGCTGCTGCTGCTGCCCGGGAGGCGGCTGGCGGCGGAGGCTCGGCTCCCAGTAGCCGCACATCCCACAATACACCGCTAAGGAGCCCGACCCGAGCGCTCACCCTCCTCCTCTTCCTCCTCCTCCTCCTCCTCTTCCTCCTCCCCTCTCCTTCCTCGCCGCTTCCCCAGGCACTCTCCCGGCGGCGGCAGCTGCGCCGCCAAAGCCCCGGGCCCCAGCGGCCCCCCACCCCTCACTCGCGCGCTCCCACACTGCCTCCCCCCTCCCCGGGGGAAGGCCTTTTAATTTATTTATTCTGCTGGGACTTAGGTGGGGGGCTTGGCTGGCGGGGGAGGGGGGGTCTCCTCCGGCTCTACCTCCCGCGGCTGGGGCTACCCTCCGAGCCGCGGTCGCCGCGGCGTGCGCCTGGGGCCTCCAAAACTGTTTCCAAACTGCCAAGACCGGAGGTGGGCGCGTGGGGGACCGGGGGAAAGGGCTGGGCTTTTTTTGGGGGGGGTGTGTGTGTGATTGTGTGTTTAGACGCTGGGAACCGTGGGGGGAGGCAAGACGACTCAAGACGAGTTGCAATCGAGGTATCTCTGCTCCGGCTTCCTCTTCTGCCCCGAGACCCCCTCCCCTTTGGAGCTGAGCTAGGGAGGGGAAACCAGGATTTTTAACCAAATTAGCATTCACATTCCTGGGAGGATGTAGCCCTCGCCTGGACCTGGGTGATAGAGGCTTTTTGCTCCGTTTTTATTTTTGGAGAGGAGCGCCCTGTAATTGTCCTATACACATGCTTCCCCCCCCTTCTTCCTCCAGCCACCAGCAGAGGAGAGAGAGTCCCCCTTTTTTGCATTTATCTTTTCCTTCCCCTTTCTTTATTAAAGGTCCGGGAGTGGCGGCGGCCAATCAGCGCGCGGCTTCCATTTTGTGAGTTCAACTCCGAGGCTCCCGGGCTTCGCGAGGACGCATTCGCAGCCCCCTCTACCTCTCCTCTCGGGCGGCCGAGACGGAGGAGCCGCCTTGCTGGGGCTTCGGGGTGGTGTATTTTATATTGGGGCTCTTTTCGGGGTTTGTAATTTGGCCGTGGGTAGGTAATTGGCTGGAGCAGGGCGGCAGGGCGCGGCAGCCAATCAGCGCGCGGCTTCTATAGGGCTTGAGTTATTAGACGCTGATCTCAAAACATCGTTCATCAGACACCAAGGAGAGGCCAACAGATGAGGGGAGCCATTTTTCTGCAATGGAATTAAATGGCCAAGTGGGTTTTTCCTTTGTTGCAAATGGGGAATGTTTTTCCTTTGACTCCACCATCCAGTTCAGGACGCCTCAGTGTTGTGTTTAACATTTGTCAACAGGCTAAAGGACTCACAGTTGGAAGAATGAAGAAGACTTTTTAAAAAGATCTGGATTTTTCCTTATGACTTGGAATCCATCTTTGTCTTGTATAACTAGGTCATAGCACACCATTAATGTCAGCAGTTAACAATTTTGAATTCCAAAAAACCTAAGTAAACGACATATTTAATTTTTTTCCTCTTTTTTTTCTTGGGTGGGTGGGTGGGAGCTTGGAGCTGTCTTAATCTGTATTCTCTTGACTGAACAATAAATTTTTAAATATATATAGTTTCCTCTATTAAACACTTAAGCCTGGCCATCTTATTAACTCCTTCTGCTCTCTTTTTAACAAGGTAATGTTTTAAATGTATAGCTGTAGGATTAGCGAAATGGCAGCAACAAAAAATTGTAAGCAGTTGTTATTCTTTTAAGTTTTTAAAAACCTTTTTTTACATTGTAAGTACCCAATCCATTCTGTCCTTATGCAGTGCAGTTTCTATGTTAATGTTGCTGAGATGTCCTTAATTTTCTGAACCTTCATCTGCATGTTTGTCTTTGTCGCTCTTGTCTAATATAAGCCAGTTAAAAATGCTTCTGGACGATTTTGCTTTCTATAAAGCTAAGGTTTTAGCTTTAAGCTTTTGAAAATGTTTACAGCAATAAATGCTAGTCAGTTTTCTTCCCAGTAACATGTACACTTTCTTTGAAAATCGATCTATTTGAAGAAAAACAGCTCTGTTTTTCTCGTCTTGGTAGGGGGGTGGGTGAGGGAAAGGAAGACCTTCTCTTTGTGTACAGAGACTAAAGCCGTCACAGGAAACTAGATTAAAACTGGAAAACAAGTCCTAGCTGGTTCGAGCCAAACACCAACGTTAACTCGCGGGTATTTTCTATGCTGGTTGGGATGGCCGTGCTTCTTTTGCCTTTTGTTTGATTTGACTGTATATTTTCGCCTTTTGTCTCTTAATGACGATCACACCATTGCTATATCCAGAGCAGTAAACAGTCCTCAGCGAAGCCGCCTTTTGCCAACCCAACCCTGGAAAGTTTGCAGAAGTGGAAGGAGCAGAAAATGCCATGAGAGTATAACTTACAAAAAGGTAACAACAAGAAAGACACCACCATTCCCCTCCAATAATCCGAACTAAACAACCCCCCCTCCCCAAGATATTTTTTACATAACACGTCCAAAACCTACGCCCAGCTTGATCTTCCAGGCTCCATGGCACCGGGCTGAGCGGGTAAGTTTAAAAAAAAAAAAAAAAAAAAAAAAAGTGCCTTTTGCCCCTTCGAGGAAATCTTTTTTTTCGAGCAGGCCAAGGGCTGCAGATGTTTGGGAGCTGAGGGGAGAAGGAGGTTTCTGGAGCTTTATGTTTGGCAGCGGGGGGGGAGGGGTGGGGGGACGAGGGCTCCGCAGACCCTCGGCCCCTTCTGCCCAGGAGGCGAGGGGAGGGTCTCCCCGGCGAGCTCGGGCATCCGGGGAGCCGCCTGCGGTCGTCCCTCTAGCTTTTCTAGGTCTGAGCCTTGATGGGGAGGAGGAAATTGAAGTGTTTTTGGAGGTGGGGGGCTCAAAAGACGAGGAGGCCTCCCCGCCCGGCCTAGGACCTCTTTCTCTCGTGACGGTGGGGCTCGCACTCCGGAGCCGGCTTTTCGGGGCTCCGGGGCGTGCCTGCGCTTCCGAAGCAGAACAGGACAAAAGGCCGGCGTCCATGTTGGCACCATGACGCAGCATCTCTCCCGCCTGCCACCGAGCGCTGCCTCTTCTCCCGGCCGCGCTCGCTCCTCCCTCCCAAGCACGAGTTTTATTTTCAGGTTCAGAGCTGAGCCGCCGGCCGGGGCCGGGGCCGAGGCCGGGGCCGGGGCCGGCGGGCGGGCGGCCGGGCGGGCGGGCCGGGCTGCAAGTGCTAATGGCGGCCGCCCTCCTCCCTCCTCCCTCCTTCCCCAGTTGTCGTTGGGGGGTCCGGGCGGACGGCGGCCCCTCGCCGGGCCGGCCCGAGAGCCCGCAGGGCGTAGCGCCCCAGGCCGGAGGGTGGTCGCGGGGACTGTGGCTGCGGCCGCGAGCCCCGGGGCGTCGCGCTCGCCTCCGCCTCCGCCGGGCGAGGCGGCCAGACGGGCGCCATTTCGCGCGCCGCCCGCGGCTCGGGCGGTGGCGGCTGCTGCGCGCCAGACGGGAGGAGGGAAGGAGGCGGCGGGGCCGGGGGGAGGGGAGGCCGCCGCCCGCATGGACGCCCCTGGCTGGGGAAGGCCTCGACGACGGGCGCGGGCTCCGCCGCCGTCCCGGACCCCGCGCCGGACCCGGGGGCCCGCGCGGGCACGAGGAGGCCTCCCTGCGAGGCGCGGCCGGTCGGGGCCTCGAGGCTCCCCCACTCGGACCGGCGCGCCCGCGCCCGCGGCGGGGTGAAGCCTCCCTCGGGGCCCGACCCCAGGCGGATCCCCGCCGCCTCGCCGCCTGCCCGGACCTCGGCGCCCGCGACGGCCGAGCCCGAGGGGCGGGGGCCCCCTTGTCCCCACTTTGGGCTCGAGGCCCCCGCGGAGCCACCGACGTCCCGGCTTGGCGGCTCCGGGCACACCCTCCGACCCTGTGCCCTGGAGGCCGGGAGGGGGCGGGGGAGGAGCGCGGCCTGGGAGAGCGGAGCGGGCCCTCCCCGGGACCCCCCCGGGCGGATGGCTCGGGTTAAGCCCTCACGTCTCCGGCCCTGCTTCGGGGAGGGGATGCGGACCGGGCGGGTCTTTGGGAATGCAGATGAGCCGCCTCCTGCTGCTAGTCGCCGGGGCTGAACTTCGTGACTCAGCCACCCCCACCCCCACCCCCACCCCTTCCAGAGTGAGGGCCACCGGGGCAGATGAAATAAGGGGGGGCTTTCGTGAGGCGACTTTTCCCTCCAGGAGACCCTGCCCGGTCTGTGGCTGTCCACTCTCTGAACAAACCCTCCGACTTTTTCCTCTGTCAGGCTCTTGGCTGGAGAAAAGGCAGCTGCCTGGCCAACCCCCAGAGTGAACTGTTCTCCTTTGGACAGCACGAGCAGGCCTAATGTCACTCTGACAAGAAGGTAGGTGTGAGTCCTTTCCCAGCCTGCCAGGGAGATTCGGGGGGCTTGGGAGCTCAGGGAGGGTGAGGGTGAGCACCCCAAACCCGCTGGGCTGGTTCTGCAGCCTCTCCCCCACACAGATGTGTGGGACTATGTGTGTGAAATCGGCTCCCTGGTAGGTCCATCCATCCCCGCCTGTCAGCTTCTGTTGTCAAGAGTTTGGGGTGTGCAATTCTCTGCAGTCTTGAGCGGCATAGGAGGCTGCACTTGCAAGTATTTACCAGTTGTGTGTTTTGTGGTGGGAGAGGGCCCTGGGTGCCTCTTCTGAAAGGTAGTGTCTGCTGCCAGGAAACCCGGCCCTGCTCCGGCCCTCCCTTCCTGCCCAGAGTGGGGGCGTGTGGGGTGACTGTGTGAGCTGGCCTCTTCCCCTCTGATGTCTAGCTGCTAGGGAGGTGGAGAACACAAGTACCTGAGTTTTGGGCCAGCTTCCTCTGAGAAAGAGGTTTCTTGACTCTTCTCCCCATTCCTTGGAATTCCCACGGATTCTCTGCACCACCACCACCCTCAAAAAGAATACTGTTTGTAAAATCAGACCCGGGATTTGAAACCTGGCTGGCCATTTACGTGCTGTGACTTTGCATGAGCTGCTTGGTCTCTGAGCCCGTTTCCCTATATTGCTCAAATGGGGCTAGGTCAGTGATT